AAGAAAAACAATTAGTGGATGCTATTTTATAGCATGTCCTAAAGGGAGAATCCTCCATATGTGCCTTTTAAAAAGTAGCTGTAATTTTTAAGATCATTCTAAATGAGAGGATATAGGAGCCCTGGGGAAATGTATATATAAATATATATGGTGAAAGTGGGAGAGAAAATCAATGCAGGTCACCAGTTAAAAATTGAAAACAAAAAATGCAAAACAAACAAACAAAAATCCAAAGACCTTTCTTTAAAAAAAAAAAAAAACTAATTTAAAATTTATTTTCAGTGCAAGATCAGATCCAATTAATCATCTACTAAGCTTTCTAAATCAGGATATTCATTATTTCTAGGCTGAAATAATAATTCTACCAGAATTTTTAAACTCCACTGTACATATAAAGGCATATAAATGATAACACTTCCTTGAAACAGTAGACAGAATGCAAGATACAACATGGAGTCTGTGCTGCAATATTTTGAACTCTGATATAGTCAGCAGCCCACTCCCTTTCCAAAATTTTGCAGTTCTCATAGCAGTGTATGCCTTATGCTCTTTGCTAAACTGAATGGAACAATTTGTGATAAGATAAAATTCAAACAAACAATCTTCCAAAAACGTTATATCCATAAATTAAAAAATGAAAAAAAATCTGAAATCTGAACTTTAGGCTCACTTTCATACTTGAAGTATAAATTAATAGGTTAGGAGAGGCTGGAAACTATGCTTTTTAGTGATTTTTTAATTATAAAAGGGCAGTATAAGTAATTATTTTTGTATGTATAAAAATACAGACTTAAGATTTTAATGTTCAGTATTGATTCTGAGTATCTTTAATGAATTATTTGACCTGTGTGGCCTGCAGTAAGAACATTTGGGAATTGGTTGTGACTGTGTTGTGACTGTATGCATCAGGTTTTGTCCTTGAATTTAAGGCCCATTCATCTACAAATATAAACTTATTTTATACCAAATCTCTTCCAAATCTATAGGGCCTGGTTTTCTAGTTTTATAATACAGTTTTCATTAAATTGATAATACCAAACACTTGAGACACTGTGCAATAAAAATAATTAAAATGTGTCTAAAACCCAAGACCTATAGGCCAAATCAATTCAACCCAATGAAATTTGAGGGTTGAATTAAAACTAAATTAAAGCGTAGCATGACACTTGTATAGTACTAAAGGCTTGTTGAATTGTCTTTGCATCATCTCTTACCTCCCTTAGTAGAATTTCCACAATCAAGGTGCTGCTATCAGAAAGTCTCTGTCTTGAGTACCCATTAAACTAGCATTACTATGTGGTGAGGCATAACAGAAGGACAAATGGCCACCTCTGATAATGCAATGGGCCAAAGACTTTAAAATGCTTTTAGCTTTTGAATGGGTAGTCTTTAGGTGTAACCTAAAAATTTATATATACATGGACATTTGGGCTACCTTTATGTAAGCCTATGCATAACTATGTTTATAGGTATTAGTATATCTTGCCTTAAATAAATAATTAAAAAGGAAATACAATTCATATGTATCAATTGTAATTGATCAATGTAATTGATGGTATCCTGTCTTTGGAACATGTTTTTTAAAGGAGATGCGTCTGCCTCTATCTGTGCTCAGTTTTCAGCACCAGGTGAAAATCCTTTTATTTTCCAGATAGGAATCTTCCATTGACTTACCTGGAAATATCAGGACTGAATTTGGAACTTTCTGCATGAAAATTATGAACCCTACTACTGAGTTGCAGCCATTCTGCTCAGACTTATATCAGACACGTCTGTTTCAGCATCCTATTGGGTGGATTCTGAGGAAAGCAACCCAATAGGATGCTATATTAAGCATTTATGCAGCTGTGTTAATGATGGTGGCCAATGAGTGGCAGAGCACATCTGAACATTCCTAGTTCAGTTCTTGGCATTTCAAGAAACCGTTCTGGGTGCCATCCAGGACATACCTATCATGGGAAATGGTGACTAGCTGTAAAGAAAAGTAACCTGCCCAAAAGACTGAGTAGAAGAAAAGGTCAGATCAGTCCTCAACATGCTAATAAACTCTTTCAACCCACACTTACCTGCACCAACAGAAACCCATTCCACAGAAGGCAACATTTTTTTACCCCCTTTCTCAATGCCATCTCTCCCATCTCCTTTCCTCTTTCTCTCCCATCTGAACTCAGATTCTCATTTTCTCCCTCCCTCCCTCACACACACACACACACCTCTGTTCATTCTCACATATGTGCAACACTGTGTATACAAACATACATGCGTTGTCCTCCCTTCTCCTCAGTGTAAGCAAATAAAAAGCTGTGCTCCGTTTTTTTCAGGATCTCTCCTGAAAAAGAGTCCCCTCATCCTCTCTCTCTCTCTCTCTCTCTCTCTCTCTTTCTCTTTCTTTTCTGTGGGAAAAGTAATCCAGGTGAGTGTAATGTTGACAAGGGGACTGCCATGGAAACAGTCACTAGGGGAAATGGAAGGTGTGCAGGAGAGCACACAGGTAAGGGTGGGAACAGGAAGAAGGAAAGAAAGATGGTGGTTTTGGAGGGGAGATGTTTTGTAACTTGTGTGATTAGGAAGTCAAGATCAGAACCTGATCAGACCAGAGGATATCACAGTGGTAAGGAACAGGCAACTTGAAGACAATCAAGTAACTAATAGTTTTGGATCAGTAAGAGCAAAGACCTATGTGTCCACAGTGCACTGGTGTTTGAGGAACCGAAAGGAGAGGAGACTATTGCACTGCGAGGTGAAGACAAAAGTTATTTCTCTGTTGTGGGGATGAGATGGAGGAGGAGAATGATGTAAGCTGCCTTGAGCCCTTTGTAGGAAAAAGGCAGGATAGAAATCGAAAAACAAACAAATTTAAAATTGAAATAAATTTTGTTAACAGGACGTTGTTTGCCTGAATCTTTTATTTTCCACACTCAGATCTATATTTAAATGACCTCCTGATCCCAGTTGCTATTTATGCAGTCCCCAACCATCAAGATATGCAAATATACCCTCACCCCACCCCTCAGATTATTTCCAGCAGGTTCCCCCAGTGCATGCTGGCTTCCTGATGCTCTCCGTCACTTCTAGTCCTTCACAGCTCTCTCCACTACCACCAGAAATGCCAGGAACCCTGCCTAAAAATTAGTTCCCCTTTGTTTTGTAGATGGGCACAGGCAGGGGCAAGCATAGGCATGCAACAAGGAGGATACAGCGCCAGCCACCAGGGGTGAATGATATCATGGGTGTCACTGGGGATTATAACAGGGGAAGCCCTCTGGGGGGATTCCTCCAGGGAGTGAGGAAGATCCAGCTGGATTAGGGCTGCAGGCCAGTGCTTTGCAACCCTGTGCTTCAGAACAACTTTTTCTGTCTCACAAGAAAATAAACATAGCTGCGCTGAGGTACTGATCAACTACAGATTTTGAAAGGTTCTATTCCTTACACCCACTATACAATTTGGCTTCAGTCTACTTTTTTGCTAGTGCAACACTTAAAATGAATCTCTGGCTTTGCTAATATGAAGACTGCCAGGTACTCTTCCATTTGCTCCTTGCCTCTGCACTTTGTTCAGAGTTACAGTCTGCTGTTCTTTTGTAAACAACAACAAGGAGCGCCTTTTCTTTTTTGCTATTCTAGCACAGATGTTTTCATAGAAGGGTTTAATGAAAAGTCATTTCTAATACATGGTCTCTCACGCAAAACTAATAAAACCTGTTAAGACAGCTATAAATTTTTACAAATGGCCATTACAGGGGTTCTATAAACATAAACTTCCTGGTATAGTTTCGGGATTTATATCATGTATTCTCCCTTGACACACAAAAATGAATGAACAAACAAAAATAAGCATGCAGAAAACTGCTTTAATAACCTCCTGAAATCAGATAATATTCTGATAGTTTGGTTTCAGTGACAAAGGAAGTCTGGGCAGAAGCCAAGAGGCCCAGGTGCATTGTGTCGTGCCAGTATTTAATGTAGTCTAATATCAGATAGATGTTAGAGAGAAAATACTCAGAATAAAGTACAGATAATAGCATGGACAACCACTCATTGCAAAATTACTTTTGCTCATCATGCTGTGCGCTTTGTATTAAATTTTTCTGTCAAGTGGCAGGAATCACAGGGAGAAGTGGTTTGAAAACCCCTTCTTGTAACCCTGGATAAGTATCTATAATATTAGGCTTTCATATGATAATGGCAAATGATGCCCCTCTTTGAAAAATTTCTGACTGGTAATGAAAGTCCTAATCAGATTGTTGTTGTTGAGAACCAGGAGGTGGGGGAATGATGCCTCTGTAGCCACCCCCACCCCTTTTAGCAAATTTAGAAAACTTGACAAGATGGGTAAGTCTTTGGGAATATATCTTACATGAATTTCCAACAAAGCCCTTTGGTTGTTTTATGAAACTGAAAGGTGGTGGTTTAATAAAAGCTGGCCCTCCTGAGGCATTTTCATTAAAGGCTCTCTCTAGACAACATCACAATGTTTGCATTATCCCTCTATACTCCCTAGAGAATACAAGCATTACCTTTTCAGCAGGAGTCGATATTGTGTGTGAAGGCATGAGAGGAGATGATTAGATTTTGCCTTTTGGTGCACAAAGTAACCGCGTGGAACAATACTATGGTTAGAATTAAAATTCAATGATTTTGCTGCCTGCTATTTGAATGCTAAATTGTTTCTGTGATGGGAAAAATGACACTATGGAGGATTTATTTTAATGAAGATTTTAATCTCATGCATGCATTATTTTCCACAGTTGTATCCATTTGCAGTGCCTGTTCTCAGACAGAGTGATAGTTAATAGCTGATTAGGGTATTACAGAAAACAAATGCACTTTTTATGACTGTGTGTCCTGGAGAATTTAGGACACTATCTTTAGAAAACAATAGTGATGTTTGCAATATGCTATATAAAATTGTACAGTATCTGAAAACACCAACTCCTTTCCACTTGTGCAGCAATATGGTATGCACACTAGAAGAGTTTACATCTCAAGACAGTGCTTACCATCTGTGTAGACTTCTCTGCGCAGATGTCCTTGCTGGTGCTTTTGCTTTTTGGCAGGTCGGACCTTCTGAATTACAGCAGCACTCATGTTGCTGTCAGTAGAAACAGGACTGGTGGGTCTTGGACAATGTGCAGCATGATAATGTCTACGGCCTAGAAATAAACAGGTTCACAGTACTTCAGTTTGTTGCTTTCTTTGACACCATAATAACATTCTCAGTCTATGCATAAACATATAGTTCTGTAATTAACATTATTCACAGCCCAGTCCAGTTTGGCAGCTTGTGGCCCTCCAAAGAAAATGTACAGGTATGCAATGGAAGGAGGGAGGAACACGGAAGTGATGTTCCTCTGGACTTCGCTCAGCTCCCAAAACATTTAGGCAGCTGAGTTCAGCCATCTTAAGTGTTTAATGCCAGAAGTTTTTCCAGGATTCCTCATAAGGACATGACTTCTTTCTGCCCCCATAAAATGCTTCCCATATCAGCACTGATTCCAGAGCGGCAGCCACTGCAGAAAGAAATGTGGTGGCTGCAAGGATGAAATGAAGGTGCCTTGAAGTCAAGGTCCTACCTCCAACTTTAAAGCATTTTTCCAAGGTCAAAGCTGAGACTCTTTTTCCTCAGCTCTCAAAATGGCATTTACTAGCCACAGATTGAAATGTAACAGCATTTAAGGATTATTTAGTGTGTACACATGTGTGTACATATGATGATGTTAACTTGGAACTTTTCTTAACATTTCAAATGTTCAAGAGATGTGCTAAAACTCCAAAGGAACCAATGATGCATTTTTGGTGGCTGGGAATTCAGATTATCATGTTTTACTATTAGGGATTTTCATAATCCTAAAAATAATTTAAATTGGATGTTGCTTTTAAAGACATCCTGACCCTGAAGAAATTACCTTACAATAGAAGTCACCAAAGTTTTGGAACCATGGATACACTTGGAATTTTGAATTCCATAGATTGGGCTGGTAGGATGGATGGGGCCTGCAATCAGCAAGAGTGTGCGTGTGCATGTGCGTGAGGGGGTGAGTATCCCCCTTCTCTCTCTCTTTATGTACATGAGGACCCACTATATGGGAGTAGGTGGGTCTTCTCTCAGTCCTCTTTTCTCCCCTTTCCCTTCTCACTGGCTCCAACTCCACCCACCTCCACACCCTCATTCCTTCAAGTATCTCCATGTAAGTGTATAAAGCAATTTCTTTATTTACTTCCATAGATCAAGGTGGGGCTGTGCCCTGCTAAAAATTGACTTAGGGCGGGCTGGGTTCCTGTAACCCATCTTCTGACAGGGAAGACTTGCTATGCTCCCTATTCAACTGAACAGGAAGCTGCTTGAAGGCTGGGGGGATCCTTCACTCACTTGAATCAAAAGGGAAAATGTCCCTCTGCTTAAAATCAGGTAGCGGAGAGATGAAGCCCACCTCTTTCCATTACTCACTTTGCACACCCCCCCCCAGCCATTTTTGATGGAGTTTATTGCCTTGGCTCCTTATGCAAAAAAATGGAGAAATTACTCCATTTGTTTACAGTGGGTGGGAGGTAGAAAAATCACGTATACCTGTGTATTCCTTTAAAAGGGTACTCATCTGAGTTGAAAATGAAGCACAACTAAAATAATAAATCAAGTATGGTGGTTTTCTGCAGCACCCATCTCTTGATTGTAAATGGCTACATTTTTAATTATTTTTAATAAAAAGGAGAATACAGAAAAAGAATACCAAGGGATCATACACTAATATTACATATGATATCAAGATCAATTTTTTTTATAAAAAGTCAGTAATTGGTATCTCTTATATACTCAATTAAGTAGTACTTAATTGAAACTTATAAAGCGATTATTCTAATTTGTAATTCTTAATACTGATTTATTTTCCATTTCTTTTACATTGATTTTAAACAACAACAAAGCTTTTGTATTAGAATTATAACTCACTATTGACATTTTTAGAAAGTCTATTAAGTAAATTCTATAAAATAACCTTTCCATTTATCATTAATTTTTCAGCAGGTCTTATATTTATGTAACTAGTTAGTTTTGCCATTAGTACATATTCAGCTAGTTTATCTTTCCAATCTTCTTTAGATGGGTAGTCTTCTGCCTTCCATTTCAATGGCTATGTGTTAAATGGAGTTTTTTTTAATCTTCATTTTAGGTGTCCAATTTTAATGTGTGCCCAGGATTCACAGAGCCACAGTCCAGGATTAATTGACATTAAGGGCATTTTATAACTTGTCATATAGATAATTGAAATTCCTGCTCAAATATAAGATGGCTGTGAACCAAACTCACCTCCCACAGCATCCTGCATGTGACGCCTTGCTACTTTAAGACCAGCATATTCTGCTGCTGCTGCAACAGCCTGTGCAAAATCTGCATCTGTGAAAAAGGATCCATCTGAGGAGCTAACACTAGACCGTCCACTTGAAATGTTGTCATCTTCTGAGGCTGAACCCCATCCGTTGATCATGGAACCTGTTACAGAACTCTCCAGATCTCCTACACTTGAGGCTGGGGTCTGCTCAAGGCCACGCAAAAGAAGCCTTCTGTTTTGCATCTTGGCAACTTCTAGGTCCACTTCATCCTCTTCCTCTTCTGGTGCATCAGTATCCATGTCTGATACAAGAGGTCCCGAAATGTAACCATACGTATGTGGTGGAGAAATAGGCCTTGGAGGTGGAGGAGGACTCACAGGTTGACGCCTGTGAGCAAATAAGTAGTTAAAACAATGTTATATAGTGCACACAAAACCCATTTAATAGTTGATATTCTATTTTTAATGTTTTATTTTGCTGGAACTGGTTGACAATTATACAAACAGGAAAAACAATTCACTTTAATTACAGACATAATTGGATCTTTAATCAATATATAAAATATTCTGCTGAATTCAATGCTTTCAAAATCTGAGTTTGGTTTACAAATAGCTATTCCTATAAGTTAATTTATAAAGGAGAATAGTTTTATAAAGGAGCATGACATATTGCTAGTACTGTTTCCCCTCCATTTTTTTAAAATGGGGAATGACCAGGCAATTACTGCTTGTGTTTGCTCCTAATTCATCTGTGTAATTCAAGAAGTGAATGCTCAAACTTTCAATGGGATTCTCAGTGTGGCTTGAATGCCATTCCTCAAGGCAAAATACTTATTTTGATAGAGAAGTAGAGTGTAATAGGCAGGGAAGATTTTCACAGAGATGGGAGAACTAGAGATTTTGGAGCTCATATTTGTTGACATATTTGACATATTGTTGACACATTTTTCAGTTTGTTCAAATGAGAAGAGCGAACATTTTTCAGACTATTCAGACTCCCATTAAGAAACTCCCTCCACAGAGAAGTATGTCTCATGTCTGTACCCAAGATGATGATGATGATGAATTTTATTTCTATCAACAACCAAAGCTTTCCTATTCTTTTTGCAAATGGTGGGGGAGGAATGACAATCAGGAATTCTTTTCCAATGGAAAAAGGTTGATTGTTCTTGTGCTGTCATTGCTAGAACCATTCTCTACCTACTCTCCTTTCTCTAGAAGGTGGCCTTTTTGCATAGGAGAGGAATAGCAAGTTGAGCAGCTCAAGATGGCTATATGCAGAATCAGGTAGGTGCTCTGCCAGCCTCAAGTCTTTTGCAATTATTTGAACCAGGATGCATAAATACTGCTTCAAATAATTCCTACATCCCTAATTTAAAAGATAATATGCACTCTGATGGATCAAGGCAAAGGTTTATCTTACCTAGAATTGACTGATAGTGCTCACTCATATGGAAGTTCAACCCAGAGCATGGAAGCTACAGCCTTCCTGCTCTGTTGCATCACAATAAATGGTACTCAGAGGCTTGGCCCTGGAAATCCCACTGTTCATCATGACCAGCATCCAAGTTGCTACTGATCTAGCCAACAAATATCCACTCCAGTTGCTTTTAAAACATGCATTTGAAAAAAATTGAAAAATTATAACTATATAATTATAGTTATAATTTGTACGTGTTATAGTTTATCAAGTGTTGACCTGATCTGCCTTTTAATTAATACTATTTTAATTGTATGTTTAGTTTTATATGTTTTTATTTTAGATGTAGTGCTGTTTTGGCTGTTTTTCAGACTGAAGATTAATTAAAAAAAGAAAAAACAGCAGTCAAAAGTATTTGCTATTAAGATTGCAAGAATACCTTGCTGGATATCTATCTAGTCCATGCCCAGTGGTCAAGCAGCCAGCTAGCTAAGCCAATCAATTTATTAGATGGCCCTGTTTTCTAATATAACAGAAAAGGAGAATTTGTTCTATTTATTTTTTTCAACACAGTGCATAATTCTAAAAAAGTCTTCCATGTGGTTTTTCTACCTTTAAAGTGCCAGCCTCTTAATTCTTATTTCACAAGATCCAATCCACTAATAATTTCAGGGTATAGATCTACCACTTCCCAATGTTGTATGGGAAGTCATAGGATTACTTGGTATCCCAGCTCTGAGATCCTGCAATTTTAGAGCTCGGACTCCACATGTCAAGTGAGAAAAAACACACTGCCTGCCTCCAGTAAGGCTGCAAATAAACCTTGGAGGGGAAAAAAGGGGGCATTGCTGGGGTAAAGGAAGGGAAGGAGGCTGGAATCAATACCTCCTTCCCTATACCAATACCTACTGGTGGTCAAGCCTCCTTCTCTCCCCTCCCTGTGCTTTAACTGGATGTGCCAAAAAATGAAAGGCATAGCTCTACATTTGGCAGTGTTCTAAATATGCCATACCATAAAACTTAAATGGCATAGTATCCATAAAGCAATGCATGCCTTTTCAGTAGCCATAGAGTCTATCTATTAATTTTACTGGATTGTAAATAGTTAACCATGATATTTTACATTAAACGACTAAGTATACATTTACCCTTAGGTATACCATGGCCCATGAGAATGAAGCAATAAAACTTCTATCCTTAATTCTGTCAAGATGTGACATAAAAAGCACCATAAAGTCTCAAGATTAGAGCATGTATATCTTATATCTCATATAAGAAGTTAAATCAATTAATATTTTAGTTATTAGCACCTTACTGTGCTACTCATTTGAAACAATCTTAAGCATTTTATAAAGAAATAAAAATAAGAAAATAAAAAAAAAGAAGACAAGCATGCACAAAATCATATCATTATGGTAGTAGATCATGGAGGAACACCAAAGGAAACAGATGCAGCAAGTCAGCACTGAAAACATGCATGCTTTGAAGGAGAGAGAATTCTATAGGACAGGCACCACTTCAAAGAAAACATCTCTCTGTGTCCTGTCAAATCCTGAACACCAAAGTGGGCTTTGTGGTTGGGACAGGGGAAAATATTCCTTTAATAATCTGAACCCAAGTTGTATAGGGCTTTGCATAATAATATCAACAGCTTAAACTTAGCTAGCAGCCAAGCAACCAGTGTGGATCCTTTAGCACAGATGAAATATTTGTGCAGCAAGCTACCCCATTTAGCACCTAAGTTGCTACATTCTATACTAGTTGCAGTCCCCAACCAGCTTCCATGCAGCCTGAAGTGCCTGATCCTGCCTAATCTTGGAAGCTAAGCAGGGTCAGGCCTGGGCAGAAGTGGGATGGGTGACTTGAGTGTATGATTCTATGATTATTGCTGTCAACTGCCTAGAGAGCTTCGGCTATGGGCAGTATAAAAATGTAATAATAATAATAACCAACCTTAAGGGCAACCGCAAACAGACTATATTGCAGTAATCAAATCTTGAGGTTGCATGTTGATCATAGTTGCCAGAATATCTCTGTCCAGGAACAGGGATGTGTTTATATCCCATTGTATTCGTTTCTGAAGTGAATTACTGAATAAAGTTTCTTCTCAATATATTAGGTTAACATACCTTCGATCTGGTGGGTGTTGCAAGTGGGCTATTTCCTCCTGGCAATCTTGTAGCATAGGCTGGAGTTCTTCTTGTGGGGAAGGAGTTAATGTGGCAGTGGACTGATGGCTGTAGGACACTGCTGCTGGAGATGAAGCTGCTCCTCGAACTGGCGGTGTGGGACCTCGTTCATCTTCTTCCTCTTCCTCTAGTTCATCCTGCTGTAGATACATTCTTGCTGGTGGTACTGGACATGGATTTTCCTGTTCATAGCTAAAAATGTATTTAAGAATATAAATACAGAACACATTCACATATGTTTGGGCTGAACACTTTGCTTCTTTTTCAAATTTTTTAATTCAGTTAACTATGGGCTCAATTGGATCCTATATAAAGCAGCAACAGCAGAAGTGATCTTTGCCTCTTGTTTCTTCTATTCTGCATTTCTAGCTGGGACATCTCACGAGGGAAGGAAAGGAGGCTGTGGGATATGTCATATACTGGCCTCTGCATTCTACTTCTCTCCCCGCCTCCTAGAATGCCTTCTCAACTTAGCCTTGGAGAGGCAGGAGGCATGGTTCTTTCCATGTTACCTGAGTGAGGCAAGAGAGGGATCAGAATACAGATTTTCTAGCTCCCAGATCAGAGGGCTGTCTTTGAGTTTAGATTGGAAAATACATCCTATGGCCATCTAAGGGCCATAGGATCATTCTCTCTAGCAATTTAAATCATTGGGCTTACAAAATATTTACTTATAAATCAGAGTAATGTGAAGATCAGACTGGAATCTGGCTCCTTTGTGCTTCTGCGATTTCTCTCCTGTGCTTGGCACTAGCCAGGAAGCAAGCCAAGCTGAGATTAAATCTGCGTAGATTCTGGAATGCCTGTGGATTCTTTGCACAAAATATGCAAAGTATGGAATTATTTGTCAAAATACGCAAAGCCTGCAAGTTTATTTTATTTATTTATTGATTGATTTCTATCCTGCCTTTTTCCTACAAAGGGCTCAAGGCAGCTTACATCTCCTCCTCCATCTTATCCCCACAGCAACAACCCTGTGAGGTAGGTTGGGCTGAGAGCCTGTGACTGGCCCAAAGTCACCCAGTTGGCTCCATGGCTGAGCGGGGACTAGAACCCAGATCCTCTGAGTCCCAGTCCCATTATATGTGTGGAAGCACAACTCCACTTGCAGAGTGGGAGTGGAGGTGTGAGGGCAGTGTGTGTGCAAGGTGGCTTCATGAACTCACTTTCTGTTGGATTTCCATGTGAATGCTAAGTACAAGGCAGACGTAGGGCAGAGAAAAAGTGAAGTGGAATCCAGGTAGTCAAGCCAAGGAAATCTGAGAGATTCCCACACCCAAACCAGATTTCTCATCCATCAGTTATGATTGTTCTTTTATCTTACCTTTCATTAACTGATAAACTATATTCTTCACTGTTACTATGTGGAGGAGGATGTACGGGAGGGGGTGGAAGTAGATCTGCCCAGTTCATACCAGCCTGCTTTGTTGCCTTAGGGGTTCTAGCCCCCTTCTTGTGTCCTTGACTCCCTGTGAAGAAATTCATTTATTTCAGTATACCATAGCCTTGGAATAAATAGATGATCAGTCCTTTAAAGTACAGCCATTTAAGAAATTGCAAGTATGGGGCTTTGAAAGAACATTGAATATTTCATAAAAAGCTTACAATGGATTTTGACTTATGCAGAACTCAGTAAGCCTCTGAATCTTTATAATGACACCAAAACTGACCATGTATGAAATGTAAGATTTTTCTTTCGTCCAAGGGAACTGTGTGTGTGTGTGTGTAACACAGTCTGCTGTAGTGCATTTTAAGAAATATGCAACTGACACACAGTGCTCATAACTTGAAATAATGAATGGCTAAAACACATTAAAGTCATAAATGACTTTTGCAAGTAATACAATTAAAGCAATGTCCCTACATTTATTAATTGCATGATAGATTATCATCTAAAACAAATGAGCTATAGATATTTTCTGTGTAGTGTTTTTTCTTATTTAATTGCTGGTGCCTAATACAAAATATGATAAAAGATATGATCCACTAAAGTTTCTCTGTCGAATTAAGTCAATTAATAGAAGTAATTTGAACTTGTCCACTGAAATGTTTTGAGCACAATGAAATTCTTAAATTTATTTTGAATGACAGGTGCAGTTGAAAATAATTATTGGAAGAACTATAACACCCACAATAAAAGCAGCAAAAGAAAGTATGGCTTCAAGATATTCTTCATAGAGAACTATGGTTTATGGTAGAAAGGTACAAGTTTTAGCTATTTGAGCAGCTTTGAAAAAAGGGCTAAAGGTACAGTTGTATTTAGAGTACAAATTTGACACGAGAAGTAATGAAAACCAGCACTTGAGTGTAATACTGCTGAATTGTGTACTGCTAGGCATGATAAACTAGTGGTGAATGTTCTGAGAGCCAGACCAGTTGAAACATTTTATACAGATTTATTTACTTGAAATGTTTAGCCTGTTCTTCAGCCAAAGCAGCTTACAAAGAGTGATAATAAAACACTCTTTGCCTTGAGACTTACAATCAAAGCAGAAAAGAAGAAGAAGAGGAATCGGGAGGGAGGGGGTTAGAGCAAATTCAGGCACTAGTTCTCTTACTTACTTATTTATAACATTTATTTTTAAAATAATTAATTTTAATTATTAATTGATAAACGTACATACTTAAATGCTTCTGAGTTTGCACTGGGGTTTCTGTAATATCTTTCCTAAGTCCAGATTCTTGCACTGCAGTGCATGTCATTCTTGAGAATAACTTTTACAACAGTACAAGCATGCTGCGGGGGTGTCAGGGTCTAAATGTATTTGTGCACATACATTGTGCACAATCTACTGTAACATTTAAAAATGTTCAGTTTAAGTCTTGGCCTGGAGATAATCTGTCAAAGGCCAGAAGGTACTTCTACTTTCCTTCACTAAAATTATTTCCCCTACATATACTTTCACTCACTACTTCCCTCACTTATCACCCTTCATTCTCCCACAGTTTTTATTGTTCCTTATCACTGCTGCAGCTGAAAAAGTGGGAACACTCAAGGAAAGTGGTACTTGCCATGGAAGCCTAGTTCTCAGAATGCCCCAGGTAATAGGAAGGAACCTTTGAGCACTGCTGGTTCCCTTTTTCCCTTTTCCAAGACAGCCAGTAAATCAATCAATCAATCAATCAATCAGAGTTTGCTTATAACAACATATTAACCCCTTTAAGAAGTCAGATTTTTTGGACCATCTTTTGAACAAGTCAAACATCAGATGACCTCCCCATAAAATAAAACCCACAATGGATTCCTTGAAACATAGTCATCTATTTTCAAGGAAAAATACTTTTGAGCCGACAAAGAGGTTTTCTGGAGTTATGAAATCTTTATTGAGTCCTCCTAAGTTTTCTCCTATGCACTCCATATGCATGCAGCTGGGTTTTTTTCCTTTTTTTAATGTCCTCACTATGCTAGCTGCTAGACAATCAGGGACTGTGTAGTCAGCATGCTGACTTCTAAGCAGACAATTAGTTTAATCTATGGTAAATGAAGCTCTCCCACTGACATTACAATGAATGGAGGGGTAAAGAATGATGGCATAGCCACTGAGCCACTACTTCATGAGTTACAGTACTATACTGAAACTGCTACGTAGTATGGAAACACTTAAATTAGGAGAGCATCTGCACATCTCTTAATGGAGCAGGAACTACATTGGGAATCAGACTGATTGGCCGTCTATTCTATTCCCACTGTGACAAATGTGGTGTGCTATAGGAGGTGCAGATTTTTTGGATTTTTTGGAAATTCAGGTGACAGTTTTAGCTTAGCTCCGTTCAAAACTTAGATGAAATTTACAAATAGCTGAAACTGTACTACTTTGAATTAGCCCACCAAACTATGGCGACAGCATGACATCATTTCAGGTATTTCTGAAGGTCTTATACTCTAGACTCATACTCACCAGATGTGCTGCTTCCTCGATCTGAGCTATTATAAGACCCACCTGTATTCTGATCATAGGTTTGGTTGTATGGGATAGTTGGTGCATTGTCATTTGCTCTGTAATCTGTAAGTGTAATAAAACAATTGTATTTCACACAAAAACATGGACATTTAGTTACTTCCAGTTTACTAGAATGCAGATTAATATTGCTGGAAAAAAAGGAAGAAACAAGAAGAAACAAGATGAGGCAAGCTGAAACAAGTCAAAATGAAACAAGGGCTTTGCTAGTTTGTTTTAATCCAGACGTTTGTTTCTTTTACCAGAAAACTTTGAAAAACTTAGACATGTAACATGATCTTATTAAGAATAAAACTCACTAACAGCATCACCACTTTACTTAAGCTCCCAATGTGCAAATTGTACTAATTTGCTGCAGTTCAGAGCAGGAGGAGAGTCACATGATTTTCCATAATCCATAAATACAAACCCAAATGTCCAGCTGAATATATATAAAAGGAATATAAAACATAAAAGGAATATAAAAGGAAAAGTGAAATCACAGTACATGTAACTGAACAATTATTAAATAAGTGTGTGATTGTTATGCTCACTGATTTCAAATTGAACAGTGGCAAATGAATAGTATAAATAACAAAAACAAAAATTAAACACAGTATTTGTTAAGAAAGAAACTATCCACAGTTTGAATTGAACAAATGTTCTATATAGTTAATTTCATATTCTTGTTTTGTACTTATGTATGTGTGTTTGTATTGCGTAGGATGTCTTCCTATCCGTCTCAGTGGGAGGGGGGAATAAAAATGCTATAAGTAATTAAATAAACATTAATATATAACAAATAAGAGTAATGAATGCATCAGGCCTACAAAAATCTGCACTGATGAGGAATTCTTTTGTTTGAGATATGCTGCCTCATTAGTTGCAGTGGCAGTGACACAGAGAGTTATATTCTCTCTCTAAAGCTTTGGATAAGCATTTAATTAAATTATAGTTATCTTTTTTTCAACCCAATATTTGAAAAAATGTATCTTTTTTCACAGGGGTAACATATTCATCAGATAAACTGATGAATTTTTACTGAAGAATATCAGTAATGTACAGGAATGTTACCAGGATCTGACTGTCATTTCATGGTACAAATAAAAGGAAGTCATAAACAGAACCATTGGACGTGAAATAGGAATGATGGAGCACAGTGCAGAATTCATCAAAATGGTTATTTCTTGTTACCCAAGCTAGAGGTAAATTGCCAGAAAGATAGTTTTGGGTTAGAAAATAAGAAAACCTACACACACACACTCATACACACAGACAGAGAAGCCAGTTCATACTTGTTATAGATAAACAATGATAATGTAACACATGGAACAAAGGAAAAGAGGTCAAGAGGATAAATCCTAGCACATAAGACTATTTTCTCTTACATATGTTCAGTTCTTTTACATTATATTGTCCTGTATGCAACATCTGTTTATGTTGAGGCTAAATGCTAAAACATGTACACAGAACTATATCCAGACTGTGATTTAATCAAGGTATTCTATAGTACAGTTATATAGCTATAATACATTAATATACTTGTCTATGTTTATATTGCACACATGTGGGCACACACATATACACAAAAAGGTATAATATACATGAGCATGGTTATACAAGCTCTGTGTTAATTGATTAGAAGCATTTTCCCTGAATTTGAAAATCTAAGTTCTGAGACTATAAAAAAATCTCATAAACCATACAGTAAAAGGCAAGGCAAGAATACAATTAAAAACTATCACAGTTATAACATCAGCTATACATTCATGTCAGATTTATGTGGCCTCTGAACCATTCTATGGATAAGTAGGTCAGGTTGTAAATAGACTGAATCAACCTTTTGTAATGGAACACGTCCTTTACCTTTTCAATATCACTAGGTAACAGTAAGAGCTACAACAATATGTTTAGGAAGTTCAAACATAGAACAGAGAGCTAGCTCCCATACTGACATTTTGCAAATCTGGTTATTAAAGTAAACCTCATAGTAGCTGAAGTACTAGAAAGATACAACAGGACTTCTTTCTTAGTATCCTGCACATTACATTAGAGAAGTCTTCCCTTAACAACAGAAAACACTTTCTCATGTTTCACGTTAACACTGAATTTATTTTCAGCTTACAGACTCTGAGCAACAATTTTAGTCCAGAACTGAAAGGAATATGGTGAATGCAAAGAAAAAGGACTAAAAGTAATCAGATCAGTCTGCTTCCATCTTTAGGATCATCCACAATACAATCTTACAGATTTTATATGCAACATTACAGTCATACAGGGATATGTAGGTTTAATTAGCCTGCATTCACCATTAGAAGAAAAGGGTGACCTATTTTAAAAATTGAGTGCAATGCCTGCACCTTACATCTGCTTTATGAATTAAAGATGTGGTCTTAGTACCAACCAATCACTCATTTGTTATTATTAAATTTAAATTAAGCACAAAGACATATGAAAATATATTTAATTCTCTTTTAAGATACAGCTGCTTATTTTGTTAGAATAAATTCAATCTTAGAAGATTATTGTAGTGCTAATTAACTCTTTCACACTGTTAATTGGGAATTTCTAAATCTACAAAGAAGCTTAGATTGCACCATCGTGTTTGGTTCATCCTGACAAGTTCTACACTCCAGTAACCAATTATCAGATCCAAAGATGAACTGAACATAATGAAATATAGGTAGTTCTTTTTGTTTATACAAGCTGAGAACCTGAAAAATAAAAATAAAACTTAAGGATTTTCCATTGCATAGAGAAGAAAAAATGCTACTAATAATTTACCTTTGTTTAACTTGTTTTGTTCCATAATGTTGTACTGAATAGGTGCTACCTCTTGTTTCTGCTGTGCAGATGGCTTCCAGTGTTTTTCATTTGAATCACCACTGCTGCTGTTAACATTATTGCTGATGTTTGACTGGATAAGCTGAGTAGTAGCATAAGGTGTAGGCTGTCCTGGCTGGTTGACAAATCTTCCATCTTTTAGATTTGGGCTATTGAAAGTTTTCATTTCATTGATCTTGTTACTTAAATCCACATCGCCATAAACTGTTGACTCAGGAAGCATCAAGTTTGTTTGCTTGTTTTCTAGCTGATTGTTGTAATTTGCTATACAATCAGCTATCCACATCAGGAAGAAAAAAAACCCCAATTATATTCAGTTACAGTGCATATTTTAATGCATTCATTGCAGCAAACTACTGCTCTTTTGGCATTGTATGTAGGGTTGCTGGTCTACTGTTAATAGGACTAACATTGGATACAACCTTTAGTCTGAAAGGCATTTATATCTAAGGGAAACCTGTAGCACAAGACTGTAGATTCAAGATCCATAAATATAAGTGATTTTGTAACTTATCCAGAATTTCAATCCATACATCAATTAAAGATTTTTCAGAACAAAACACAAAAGTGTCTAGTTCTGCCAGAATGCATGTAAGTGAGATAACAGCTTGCAATCCAAAGAAATGAGGCATAGTAATAAACTTGTTTGTGGAACATCTCTGTAAAAAATGTAGGAATATATTGAATATCTATCATCACTTTCAATATCACATTGAATCTACTATACTCAAGAAGTCAGTCAGAAATGCTAAATTTTGCATTATCATACTTGAGCAAGAATCAGGAATATGCAAAGGCTGTAGAACGGAGTCCCTAGCCTTTACAGACACATCTGGGAATTTGAGACACTGAACCACAAATAGCTCCCATGGAAGATGTAGCTAGTCATGTAATGGCTCCTGTGGGGCCTGATTAGTCAAGAGGTGGAGGTGTGGGAGAGGAATAGTGAGGTTAGAGGCTGGGAGGGTGAGGGAAATGAAAAAAGTTACCTTTTTTTGTGCTACCCAATCCTCTTATGTTCCTACAGATCTTGCCCCTTCATCTCCTGACTCCTAGTTTCTAGCTTTACTATTCCTCTACCCTTCTCTCTAACCCTTTCCTCACTATTTTGTCCCTTCTCCATCCCTAATTGTTTATCTTTTTAGCTTCTAGCCTTGCTCTTTCTCTCTCACTGACCTCCTTATTTCCCTCTTTCTCTCCACTTCCATTCTCTAGCTTATTTGTCTTCCCTCAGCCTCTTTATCGCACTGTTTCTTCCCCTCCTATCCTCTAGTCTAGTTTCCCCTCTGTCCTCTATTAGTTTACTTTGCTTTCTCTTCCTGTCTACTGAACAGCTGGTCAGTGACTAGCAGGTTCAGGACCAAAAAGCTGAACCTGGGATCCTAACATCTCTCTGTCTCTCTTTAAAGGGTTTTTTCGTTTTTGAAGAGGGAAAGAGATGAAGAGCTTTGGGAGCACCACCGGAGGGGCCTGGATGTCATGTTAAGGACCCACTGATCTAGCATGCATGAACCTGCCATGCTCCAAAATAATACATAGAAATAATACATGGAAATAGGCTAACTTTCAGCCATGGTAGGCCTGAGCCAGTACAGGGTGCAAACAGGCAGAAGGCAACACAAAAGGAATTCAAAGAAAGTCTTTTAGTATTAAACAACATTTACCTGGCCGACTATAGGTAGTGAGGTTGCTGTCACTGTTTCCATTGCCTGATGTACAGCAGTTAATAGAGCAGTCATTGTGATTATTCCCAGTATTAGGCCATGTATCAGCAAGCCATGGCTGAGTAGCAGGTTCATTGATGTTTAAAAGACCTGGCCTTCAAAAGACAGAGTAGTAAGCATAACAAGTAGCACTTTCATAAATTACTTTTCTGTGCTTTAAAAAAATAAAGGTGCTTAGCCCTCATAGCAGTCCTGGGAATATGCATAGCTTGCTAAATGGAAACAGCTGCCATAGGGAGTGCTTCAAAGTAATATCCACAAACTTGCTGCATGAGCTTCTCCTTGTTTCTTGTGATCCGCTGGTGAAGCTCTGTCTCAGTTCCTTCACTGGATGTTGTAACACTCATTATGTGTGAAGCAGGGAGATGGTCACTGATGATCCTACACATTTGGAACTAGTTTTGTATGGGGCGTTTATCAGGTCAAATTTGCTTTTTTCCCTTAGTTATTTAGAAATGAATCACTGGAATGCATAGCACTTTCACATCTTTTACAATTTTCTATTCTATTATTTCTTCCATTTTTTTTAAAAAAGTTGTATTTTTCCTTCATGCTATGTGGCTTGCATACAATTTATATATTTAATAGATTAATAAAACAATATATCAGCCCATGGTTGCAACAACACATACTCTCTTATGCTTAAGTGTTCTAGTATTTCATTATCACTATGCATTATTTTCTTTCAACATAATCCTCACTCCTATGCCATGCTCATCTTTCCTCCTAAGCCTCCCTTGCCCTGGTTACTCAATCTATCCTGTGAAGTCATTATCATCTATGAAGCTTTTGTCCCCTTTGTTCCCCATAATCTTCTGGCAGATCATGGCATTCATGCAAAAATCTTCCTTGGATAAAACAGGTATAGTCCATGCTCTGGTCATCTCTCATCTCTACTAATACAAACTTCTATTCTCTTGCCTGTGTGAAAGCAATCTGTTGTAAGAAACATAGCTGTCAATATAAATGAAAGTAAATAAAGTTATAGTTCGGTAAATAAAGATCTAGATATATATTTGACAGACATGTTTGACATGTTATAAATAAAAATACTAGTCACCAATTCTAAAGTATAGATTTTCACAGTCATACCTATGCCGACACTTTTATATGTGAAATTGAGATGGATCAGCAACTACTTGCAAAGGATCCAGCACTCAGTGGACAAAAGCTTAAAACATTCAGTATATGTTTGTATGTATGTGTGTTACATTTGCACTCTATGTAAGCATCCTTCCATTTAACAGAGCGGCTTCTGTTGCATGATTTGCCATCAGGATAACAAGTGAAACAGATAACTAGGCATTTATATGCCTTTGGGATTTATCCGCCCATATAAATATGAAGTGAATACTATTATTCAAAGCAATGAATAATGGATTATAAAATGTTGCAAAAATAAGTACTCTGTGATGGTAGCAGAGAAAAATCTTTAAAACCAAGCTTGAGCCAGCATCTCTCTTGACCCATCTGTAACTGCTGTACTGTCTCTTTCTGTGTACTTCTATATCCCTTCCTGTAAGGCACATAAAAACAGCTTCCTACAGGCAAGTGTTTACTATGAGTTCCATTGCTGCAGCTACAAGGGCATGACTAGCAAGCATACACTGCAGAGCACAGAAGCTATTTATAACACATTTTTTTCCTGCAGGAATAGAAACCATATACATGGCATTTGAAACAGCAAGGCATCTCTTGTGGTTATCTGTAAAAGCTATGCCATGTCTTATTTCCCTCCCTGAAGAAACTGGAACTCACCGGTATAAAACACATACTACAGGGATAAGGTCAAAGGACATGCAAAAACAGTTTTCTAAATTAATCAGTTCAGAAGAAGTAGGTTTTCATGGACCCAAGTCCAATAGTACAATTGGAGGAACAGGGAGTGACATAAAAGCTTGACAAGCCAAATATTTACAAGAGGAGATGAAGGAATCAGCTATCTTCCACAAGGTGTCCAAAGGATATGCATGGAACATTTTGTGCAACTCACCATGGAAAATTGTTTCTGGTGACTTACCATGGATAATACTTCTAATTCTAACAATTTCTTACTAATTTATTGTATTTATATCCTTCCTTTTTTCTGCAAGGAACACAAAAGGGCTTTTCTAATCCTCATCTTCATTTTATCCTCAAGGCAATGCCATGAGGTATGTTAGGCTGAGCGTCCATGACTGACCCTGTTTTTAGCTGACTAGATGAAGCACCATGGAGGGAGAGGCAAGCAAAGTGACTGGTTCACAGTTTGAATGTGGCATAACCTATCAGCCCCAGCCTTTTCCCTCCTTTGCTCTCTAGCACCCACATTTTCTTTTTCTCTGTGGATGCTTCCTGACCTCTTAGAGGACGCTGACAGGGTTCTTTCTGCACCAGTTGTGACAGGGAAGGGGAAGGACCATGGTATTTGGAGTCCCAGCTCCAAGTCTGTAGGACCATGGGATTGTGCCCTAGGACATTCACAGCAGCAGTGGTGTCTCTTGAATCCTTAAGAATTGTCAGTGTCTTATGCTTCAAAATATAAGCATTTGCTGTGAATAAGAAACCCCATAGGTGGGACTGCTTGATGAAGAAGCAGCTTTCCCATAGGTGGTGGAAGCACTGGGTGAAGAAATGGCCCATGATGACCTTGACCTGAGATAAATCCATGATTTTGGGGGGAGTTTACTGCAGTCCATTTTGCTGCAAACCAGGAAGGGAGGGATTCAATTATAGTATATGAAGGGGAAAAGGGGAAATATATAATCATGAGGATTATTTCATGTTGACTCATGCAACAAGAAACTAGTTTGTTACTTCTGAACTACGGTATTATAAGTGCCAGGACTACTACTGTACAGTTCAGCGAAGTGGATGCAAGTTCGTGACTCTGTTCAGGATTGTTTTAAAGAATGTTTGGGTCAGCACTGTAGGTTATCAGAAACTTCACGCAGGTGAATGTATGGAGCTCTATGTATATGAGTAAGCAGGATGGGAGAGAAGAAATAGAGGGTTTCCTCCCATCTCTGTGCATAGTACAGAGTGACTTAATTTATACTGTTAATTTATGTTATTCTATGGAAGTTTATTTATGGATGTGAGCCGCCCAGAGGCTTCGGCGAATGGGGCAGCATAGAAGTCTCTTAAATAAATAAATAAATAAATAAATAAATAAATAAATCAGAGAAAAAGTAGAAAATCCTTTCTCTGTGCCCTGCAAACAAATACAGTTCTCTTCTGGCAGACCCAGCAGGGCAGCATTTATTCCTGGCTAGTAACTTTAGGAAGGTTATTTACAGGGCTGATTTGTTTAGAAGAATGAATCTAGCATGACTTGAATGGGGCTGTAGAGCACATGTCCTGCACATGACATATCTTGGGTTTTTCCTTGGCATTTTCAACTATGTTAAATAGGTAGCACATGGCTAGGAAAAAAATTCTGCCTGACATCCACAGGCTGTTGGCGTTGCTAGTACTATAGTAAATACTAATTTATGTCGTTCCTTGTACCCATGTTGCTTGCATGTTCGAGTGTGCTTATAAAAAGCCTTCAGCGAAACACAAGTAGCATTTGTATGAGAATTATTGACATAAAAATGGCATTGCGTTTGTTTCAAACATAGTAGCACCATTTATCTGTCATTTTTCTTTATACTTTTCCAGGAAGTAATAGTCAATCTTGTTCTTGTTTTTCAAAAAGTGCATAACTGTCAACTGCATTCATAGCATATTTTTCAATTATTTGCTTTTTTCTTTACATTTTATGTCTCCGAATGCCACAATTTAGCTATTTTCATTCTCTTTAATCATCCTTTATTTCAGCAAAACATGTAGTTTGAAGTTAAAGTACTCCCTCTGCTGTTTGTTTTCTGAGATGCATTTTTGCCCATATACTTGAAGTAGTTATGTTGGAACCAGAAAGACACACATTATTACCTGCCTCCGCTGCTTACAGCTTCTCCGCCTCTTTGATATGTTACTAAAATATAAAATTTAGAAAAACAACAAAACTATTATTATTTAATGTGTTCAACCTGCTTTTTAAAAAGCAACCCACATAAATTGCTATTTTCATTTTTTTCCTTGTCACCAAATTGTTTTTACAGCAGTTATTTCTTAAGCAAGCCCATATATGCATATTATATACATAGTACCTAACTATAAACCATCACAGTGCAACCTAAAATATCACTGCAGTCTTAAGCTATATTATATATGCAGTACTTAAGCATATCATAGTATCACCCAATTTCCACAACAGTTTTAGAATATCTTTATCTATTAAATAAGGCAAAACTTAGAAATTGTTTAGGGGCACCAATGTTTGCTGTATGCCTTGAATTTTACAAAATTGAATGTGAAATAAAGATGTAAATGTTTCCAAATATTTCTAGATCTATTTACAAGCAGGGAAGTATTTTTTAAAGACTATTGCCTGAAAATCTGTTTTTCAGTGGGCACAGCTCCAAATAAACTTGCTGTACTTTTATCTTCTTCTCTGAGGTTATGCAAAGGGCTAAGAAAATTAGCTGCAGTATACATGACTATGGATTCTACAGCTATGCATTTCCCAAACTAGGAATGTGTTTTAAAAGGCAGCCAAATTCTTCTCCTTAGAAGAACTCCAAAGTGGGGGCTGCAAGGCAGAGATAACTGCTTGCAGTGATTACAATAACAGGATTAAAATGTAGCAGCCAGTGGTACTGGGCCTTTTGCTGAAAGCTCTGTTAAAGATGAGGGACTGCTAACCATTTAAATTCAGCAGAACAAAACTACTTGGAATCTGAAGTATGGAACAGAAAAGTTTTGAATTTTAAATATAGCCTGCATTTCTAACAACTTCTTGCCAATCTTCCTGTTGTCTGTTGTGCGGCTATCACTTGCTACGCCAAGCATTGATCCGAACATTTTATTCTTTATATTTTAAAATACTTCTCTCTTGTATGAAATGTGACAATGAACCAAAACATGTTTAAAGTTAATAAATGTTAGCAATGCTAATCATTTAACTAAATCAATGTATTTCTCTCTTCTCTGCAGAACCCAGGGACTGAAAACAGGGAATCTGAGAACAATATGAGTAAGTATAGACCAGAGATATTCAGCATGGGATCTACTGGGGCCTTCAGCGGCACTCTGTTGGGAGTCCTGTTTCATTCAAAAGTGACTTTTACTTTTTAAAAAACCCTTGGAAAACATTAGGTCACCAGCTTCCCCTGCCTTTTCCTGGACCTGTAGCTGATCAGCTGCTTAGCAGGAAAGAAAGAAAGAGTTACTTCCTAGACCCACCCAGTCTTCTTCCACCCCTGCAGACCTTTCCCCTTTTGCTCTCTTTTCCTGGCCACTCACAGCCTTTGGGCATTATTTCCTCATCATTTTTCTCCCTTCCTTGCCCCTAACCCTTTTCTCCCTTCCTAGCTATTAGCCTTGGTCCCCTACAGCTACCTTGTTTATCTTGCTGTCTCTTTCCAATCCTAGACTCCACACTCCATTTGTCTTTCCTCCTTCCTCTTGATGTTTCTTCTGCCTTTCCTAGTCTCATTCTTTCTTTCCACTCTACTCTTTTGTTTTGCTATTTCCCCTCATTCAAGGCTCTAAATCTCACTATTTGTCTTCTCACACCCCTCTTTTGATTAGTTAGACACCCATGAGTAGCTATTGTATGACTAGTCACATCCTCCATGTGAGCTATTTTGCTGTGGTGCATACAAATTCTCAAATGTGCCTACAGGTCCAAAAAGGTTGGCAACCCCTGGTGTAGACTAATACTCATACAGTTTTCAGATGACATTGAAATTAAATGAGAAACTAGGTACAAAATGCTTTTTAAAAGTTACATAATACTTATGTCTAAGGATCAGAAAGATGTTGATAAAACTGAATGGATCTGTTGTAGTTTTTCCTTCTTAGGGGATTTTGAACACCTTAGTCTCTCCATTGAGAAAATCAGTATCTGATTCAGAGTAAGTAAACAATTTAACTGAAAAGTACTTAGACTCTTATAGTTATGATAAAATGTTATAGAGAATGCTTGTCTACTTGTTAAGGTAATTTTTACAATCACGACCTTCTGCAGAGATGTGCTATTCTGGAAAAAAAGCAAATCTTATAGGGAGTTGTACAGTCATCAGTTAATTTTTGGTTATTGCTGTGGATACTCAATATTAACTGGCAGACATTTAGTTTGCATAGTTCATGATCAGTGTAGTCAATGCAGGCAACGTATAATAACCAATGCTAAAATTCAGATAGGACAATATTATAATATAATGCCAGGATTACTTTGCTTTACAAATCTTCTGTGCTACTGGCAATCACTAGAACATGATGATTTCAGAAGAGGAAAAGTTCCAGCACTGACAGAGAACACCTGAGATCAGTCATGAATATCCCCCACCACCTCAGATGAGTTTCTGTTATAAGAACAGATGACTTTCTGTTCTAAGTACTAAGCAATGATCTATGAAGGTTTGGTAGAAATGAATATTCCCTTCCTTTATGAAGCATCCCTTGTATTTCCAAAGAGCATTTTTTTAATGAGCACCATGTTTGTAGACAACTTTCCAATAATGGAAACCAACAGAATTAGTGAAAAACAACCATATCATAAATTGCCATGGAAGGCTATAGAATGACATAAAGCCTTCCAAACAATATAAAAACTCACACTTCAAATACCAGTGCTGTATCTATAAAACAGGATAAAGGGCACTATAAATGAGGATACACCACTTTAATTAACATAGTTGAGACTCCATACTGCATAACATTGTGCCTGGTTATATAAAGGAAGATGGAAAAGAGAAAGTCACACAGGCACATGCCAAACTGTCAAGGGAAAAGTGCAAATATATACCTGTTGGTGTGAAGGTAAAAGACGGGACTGAAAATCAAAACACAATAAAAACTGGTTATTAAACTGAAGAGAGAAAGGGAGATCACATAACATTAGTATAAATCAAGGCAGCAACCGAACATAAAGCAAGGGTAAATATGTCCAGACATACCGATATGTGAATAAAACCAAATGTGTGATTCTAAAAAGTAGCTGGTCTCCACAGATACCATTGCTGAGGAAAATGACATTCTATAATATACACTTGAGAGGAATGGAGTGTGGTTTAGCCTCTGAATGACCTTCACTTTACTGTCTCCTGTTTTGCTGCAAATCCATGAACCAACAAAAATCCTACACTAGTTAATCGTCTAAAATAAAGGCTGACAGTTATTTTTACAAGTATTATGAAGATTTTCTTTTTTGTTACATTCACTACATCAAGCAGTAAAATGCATAATAGATCAATATGGGTACTTAACTATTTAGCAGAGTCAGAAATTGTTAGGAGTAATGTTTAGTTCAGTTTATCGCTTGATAAACAAAGCAGCATTTGGAAGAACAATAAGAGAAGGGGGGCACCTGAGATGAAGGAAAATGTTTCCAAAGGTGCCAAGGGAAAACTTGTTTATATGAGCCCAACACATTCCAAAGACACAATTCCTTTGTCAGGGGCAATCTTGTAAAATGCAAATGCTGCAAAAACAGGAAGACAGATTACTAAGATAGTATCTATCTGTCATATACCAAACAGTAAAATGTTTGATGGAATAGATCAATATAGACACCTAAATATTTCACAAAGAGGTGGTAATTATTGGCCAAGCAAGTTTGAAAAGGCAAGCATTTCTCAGTTTGGGTTGACCCCCAAAGTGCTAATTTGCCTTTGTGCAAGTGGTGGGGGCTGTTTGTGAGACAGAAGAGAATTCATAGGGGTATGAGTGCCCTGTTGGATACTGTCCAGGGTTAACATATAGCTTATTGCTTGATAACCAGGACTTTGCATGCAGGAGTAATGAAGAGCTATTCAAATGGGCCAGTTGTATTTGACTTGCACCAGAAACTGTGTTATACTTTATTGGAAGAGCTGCTCAGTGTTGTGTAATTTTCACACTTATTTTTAATATACAGTACATAGGACATATATAATTACAAGGAATTTTGGAAAAGATTGCTTTTTATTTTCAAGTAGTAACACAGTTAAAGTAATCTTTCTTGACTCACCAGCTTACGAATTTAAACAAAAAATGTTCCCTTAGGGGGAAAAAACCCTTCAGTATTGCAGCTCCTACAGATATTAATTGAATCAATAAGAAGTCTAATCTAAGAGCAGACCTCCAGTGCAACATCTACTCCATTGTTTTCCTAGCACATACTTCCTCTGCTGTTCAACAATAGAAAATATTTTCAGTATTCGTAATGGGAAGAATGATGGCATGAAAAGCTCCTTAATCCTGAGAAAAACAAAGAAATGTGAGAAAAGCAGCAAAGTAGTTCCTAAATGCATCATGGCCTTGAAATTTATGTTAGCATACAAGCAACAAAGGGAGGATAGAATGGCTGATATAGAGATGCACCACTAGGATATTTTTTGCTGCATGTAAGTCTGATTTTTGTATTAGGAACAAGGCCCTTAAGTCTCTGAGGACCCAGGAAAGCCTCATTTAGGACATGCAGCATATGTGCTTCTGTTTTTATCAAGCCACTTTATTTCCAAGAGTATTGCACTGAACAAAAAATGAAAGCCTCTAATCAAGTGAAGCTCTGTCCTTCATTTGTAGCAATGCTGTTTTTATCTCAGGAATCCTGTTATTATTCTCTTTCTCATGGTTCTTTTCACATAGCCAAAGGAATTTAGAGTCATTAAAAAAGAAAATGCAGGGTCATGGTAATAAAGCTTTCACATCCATACACAAAATGATGTATTTAAAATAAGTGTTACTCATAAAAAGCTCAATAAAGCATCTCCATATTGAATTGAAATAACAAGAGTTGAAAAAAGATGAAAGATTTTTGCCACTATTTTCCTGTGAACTGCATACTCAATAAAGTTTTGTTGTAAGAAAATGAATATAGATCAAACCTAAGTGAAATCTTTAACTTTTAGGCGTAAATTTTATTATCAGAGCCTTGATTAATAAAAATGCTTAATATCCTCTCAGGCACTAATGCATGTGTAAATACAGAAGTTTGTTTGGTTTTTTTAAACAGTTGTTAAATCCTCAAACTGAATGTTCAAAGGAAAAGAAAGGACTTAATGAATTTTACTGATCCTCATCTTTTATATTGACTTGATGGTCTAAATATTGACCAATTATCTTTGTTTTTTTGAAATTGGTTTTCCCTTCAAGTGTGTTGAATTACATAGCCTTTTTGTTTTTAGTTTTTGGAAAATATATGAAAATTTGTGGAGTCACCTACAGATATTTATAACACACACATATCTGCATAAAATAGCAAGATACCAGAAATTTTAAAATTGCATGCTGTGGATTTAGCTCCACTTATATCCAGCATTAGTCCAACAGAACTGTGTACAAAAGATCACATGACACCATGCAATTAGTATAGTTAAAACAGAACTGTTAATGTAGAATAAAGGGTATAATTTAATTTGTCCAGTGAAATAATAACCAACACAAGTTAATTTTTGTCTCAGCTTCACAGAATATACAATGGAATATTATTTGACCACAAAGTTATCACTAACTTTGCCACTTTTGTTTTTGCCTAGGAAGTTTATATTCTAAAGTCTTTACATCCTGGTAGTTTCTGAAGATTCAATCCTATGCATGGTTAGACAAGTTGCTATTGTACATTTAGGGTCATATCAGTATAACTTTCTCCCCTTGGCACAATATTGGAACATGGGAGTTCATCAGTTCCATCTTTCCTCAGAGATAAGTATCTGTGCTCATTCTGTGACATTTGTTAGGGATTGCTTGTGGACAAGCTAATAGGAGGTAATCCTCTTAACCCTATTTTCATAAACCTGGGAGCCATAACCTGGGAGCAATAAGAAGAAGATGCAAATTATGGCAGCCAGATTAATAATTGGGCCTAGAAATTCCAAACACATAACACCAATTCTGACCCACTTGCATTGGGTACCTATATGCTTAGTAGCATAATCAAGGTGCTGGTTTTAACCTATAGAATCACTGTCTTGGGACCACAATACCTGATGGGACACCTCTCCTGACTTCTATTTACCTGGGCTATGCTCTGCATCTGGGGCTTTCCTTTGACTGCAAACTCCAAGGGATTCCCAGAAAGAGACAACAAAGAGGAATGCCTTTTCATTGGTGTCTCTGCCCCACAATTGTGAAATGCTTTCCCTGGTGCCAATATTGTCATCTTTGTGGCATCAGGGTAAAACAGCCTTCTATTCCCAGACATTTAATTGGCATATGATGGGTTATGTCTGCTGTTTTTAAAACTAGGTTTAGTTTTAAATGTTAAACTGCTTTATATTTTTATATATTTGAATGTTTAGCTTTTAAAAATGTGCATACTGGAACTGTATACTTTGTTCTATTGCATTTGTATTTTTATGCTGTCTTTGCATTTGATTAATTATTCTGAATTGCCCAGAGAGCTTCAGCTACTGAATTGTATAGAAATGAAATGGAACTAAATTAATGTCTTTGAGGCAGGAACGAATATATTTGAAAAGGAAATAACAAAATACCTTTTCTTATACCAGCATAAGTACTAGCGAGACCAGTTCGCTTCTTTCTGTGGCGGTATAACCAAATGCTGAAAACCATCAGGATAATCCAACAGGCAGCACCAATTCCAGCAATGAACGCTGGCTGTTTGACAACATCTGAAATCTGCTGGGCTAAACTGACTTGGTCTTCTGGTGACACAGGATTTCCATGAGAATCTGAAAGATACCCAGAATGCATAAGTATAAATACTGAAGAGCTGTTCTCAAGTTCCTTTATGTTTCAGATAAATGCATGTCTATTTCAAGCAATTCTAAAAATGGACATTATCTATAACTGTTGTTACTTTGTCAATATCACAGCAGAGATGTGAGTTGACCTAGTAAAAGAAAAACATATTACAATAAAAATGCAAATTGTAGTTATGCTCAAATTTTCCTCCTTGGTAGAATGGAACATTAGTCAGTTAATTGGCAGCAAAAACTGGGTGAACCCAGAGAAAACTCTGAACATGCTGCATTTAAGTTTGACAACAATGAGAAAGCATCACTTAAACTTAAAAAATAAAATAAAAAATAAAATGCTAATAGCATTTGTTTCCTTCCCTTCATATCTACCCCTTTCTGTCCAGAATTCTATGTTTTATACATAATAAATGATAATGAAAGCAATAAGTGTCTCTTATTTGTCACTGGGAAGCTTCTTTAATATTACATATGCTTTCATGGTTTTGAAGCTAATACTCCTTGTAATCTGAAAGTCCAATAAATGGTCCAATTCTTATCCCACACTTCCCCAATCCATATCTGTGTTCCAGATCCAGAACATTCATAGTTATTTGTACAAAATCAAATTGGTTGCCTTACATTTTATGAAATTCTATGAACAACACTACTGAAATATCCTGATGGGATTAACTGTATAAAGTGTGCTGAGATTAATTAAACTCTCTCTCTACGTTTTATTCATTATCTCATGCCAGTTGATGCTATATTAAAATATTCTGCTTCATTTTACTTGTATCACAATCAGCTATAATTTTTACAGTATCATGGACTACAACTGTTTCCATTTAGTAGTAGAAAGAACCCTCCATTCCCAACATCATTCATCCATTTTTGAAAAGAAATGCTACCTTGTTTTATAATTTCAATCATTTGTTTTAAATTTAATGCATTTCCCTACTTTCCCATTAACATTTGTTACCATCTTTTCACAGAAAATAACTCGACAATTGGACAACCTTTTAAAAGAGTTTAAGAGATGTAAAAGATGATCACAGTGACAACATAAGCCATATTCCGTATTCCCACATATGATTCAGTACACAGATTATGTAGGAAGTGCCACAAATGTGAACAGCACAATAAAACTCTCCTTAACCTTTGCTGCTCTGATGACTCACATTTTGGGATACTATTTGTGAGCTAATTAGCATGATGGTCATAATATCATTCAGCCAGCTGCTTCAGGTTTTCTATGTTTTCATATGTTGTATAATAGCAACAGAGAATGTTTGCACACTTCCCATGGACACAACTATGAGAAAGTAAAGACTATTTGGTTTTACCAGTAAGACTCATTAGTAAATTTGATTATACACCAGCATATAACCTTCAACAAAAAGACCTGCACTGAATGCCATAAAAAGACTGGTATGCATTGTGTCTGTGTTTATCCTCTACATAAATGTTTTCCATTTTTATGACTGTATCCATTTTTATTATACTGGCTTTACTGATGTATGCTGCCTTGGAAGTGCTCCTGCCAAAAGGTGGCCTAGGATTATTTTAACTGACTCAAAACCCAACAGTTCAATCCAATACACATTTCTCCTCTCTGAACAAGCAGCTGGTGATGGAGGAGAAAGCACTGCTGGACTGAAATGTGGACAACACATCAGAGATCTGAAACAATCATTTCCTTACTTATTAAAGAATAATAGTGATACAGATACACACACATATATATGTAAACAGACATATGTGAAAACAAAAGGGTATGGCTCATTTGGTGCCCATTCAGTGCCACTTTGATGTGGGTTCAGGTGCCAGGCCCTTTGGTGGGGGAAAGACCTATTCTTACAGAAACTTACTGTTTTATTATTTGCTTTACTAATAGTCTGTTGATCTTACTGTATTTATTGTAAATGGCCCAGAGATCCCTCTGGTCTATAGGGTGGTATATAAATGTCAAACATAAATAATAAATAAGTAATCAATAAACATACACAAGTCAAAGAAGCAATGTGTGACTGCACAAAGGCTTTGTTATCTTACTTTGTATCTTAATTAATTTGGAATGCTGGAGCACAATTGATGTGGAGTATTCAAGCGTTTTGCAACAGAGTTGCTTTACATTCATAAGAGATGCAAAATGAGTGTGAAAATGGTACAAAGGACCCACACTGTACTAGATCACAAAACAAAAATAGCCCACTACAAGAACATCAGTGGGCCTCTGTACAGTCCACTACAGAGGTTGTGCTTTAAATAAAAAGAATGTTAGGGAGTACATATAGTTGCACTTGCTGGCAGATCAACATGAAAGGCATGATAATTAGTTCACTAATCATGCCTCATAATAGGAGCTGTTACAGCAATAAAAATTCAAGGAGAGTTGCTTGTATTCGTTTCACTTGGGATGTCTAAGACATGAATAATACACTTAACATAATTATCAGATTGAAGCTCCTCATAAATGTATGATGTATATTCACACTGGTTAATATTTTTATGAGAAATGTTAAGTTTTCATGCTGGAACAATGACCTGTTGGGGTACGACAGTGGAAGAAACACAGGAAAGAAATTGGCAATCCATTATTCATTGTTTCCTCTACCATAAGCTATGTGCGCTGATACGGACATGATTTAGCAGTGATGCTTCAATGGAAGGGCACTCACTGCATTTTTGGCAAATGTGCGATCATCTCTCCTAAATCACCCATGAGGGAAGCCAGTTTTCCCTGTGTGTAGCTTTAAACCATTTTCCCCAAAGACAAATTTAATTAAAAAATGAAGCATGCTAATTTCCTTTTTAAAGAAAGGGAGTCAGTCCACCTGAAACATGGGGTAGAAAGAAAAAAACAAGTGTTGAATTTGGAGACAACTGCCTAGTCAGAATTCAACAAGGCATAAATGTTTGGGAGTGTCAGTTAACTTCCTTATTAGAATTACTTATTAAGTTTTACCAGATACATTGAACCACCAGTCAGTTTTATAAATACTTATTACAGGTGACTAAATACAACATATGGGGTGTTAAGCAAGAATGGAAAAATGAAGTGGATTGTTTATCTTACGCTGGCATCTGTCTAAAAAGGATCAGTGGATCAGAGGTTACATCTTATTTAGCATATAACGTCTTTTAGTAAGAATGTGTCTTAACTGGTTAACTGCTGGACGTATAATACAGTCAGTGCTTCTCTTACCCGTGTTTTGGCAATGCCCAGAGCCTGCATTTTTTGTAAGAAGGTAATAATATGGATAAACATTGTGTTGGAAAGCTCTTTAATTTATTTGATGTAGATGATCTTTATGATCTTGCTTCTTGCAAGGTCAGTGTAAATAGATTTTATGTGCCTTTTGACACCTAAAATACTGCTGGTATTGGAAGGACAAATAGCTGTCTCAGTAGACAGAGGACATAATGAGGCTTTTAACTTTTGAATGGGTGGTCTTTAGGCATAACCTATGAATGCTTGAATATTTCATCTGCCTTTGAAGAAGCTTCTATGTAACTATGCTTATAGTAGTATATCTTGCTCTTTGCAAAAATATCAAGGAGAATGCACTTAATATGTACCTATTGTGAATGATACCTTCAAATTCACTATGTAAGAAAACTTTCCTTTTTCGGTGTTGGTTTTGTTTTGGATTAATATAATTCAAAATAAATATTATTAAATATGTTAAGGATCATAAAAACAGAGAGATACTGACATTACTTGCTGGCTTGGAAAGGTGACTTGAAATAAAGTTATTTCAGCAACTGAAAAGAATCCAACAAAGAAAGCGTTACACTAGATAAGACTCTAGGAGATGCATAAGCAGTCTTATGTAAGCTTTTTACCTGTACTGAAATGTATCTGAGTGGAGGCTGTGAAACTGATTAATGTAGTGGCAGTGTGAGCCAGAGGGAAACTTTTTCTTTCAAGATCTTATGAAGAGCAATTTATTGAGATATTTTTTGCAAAATCATGAGGGGAAGAGATGATACCATAACTGAATGGCAGGGAGATGGAAAGCAGTGGCAAATATGGTCAGCCTCATGAACTGACAGCATTTAACCATCCAGTCAAAAACATAGCCAGCAAACAGCAGGTGGAAAAGGTAGAAGTGTTCCTGCAATCTGTCTACATTGTCAAGCTTCTTTATCAGAACTGAAGTCTGTTCCGTGATTCTGTACTGTTTGTGATCAGAACAATGTAGAATATTTGGCTTTCCCCTATTCCACATCAAACCCTAAATATAAACAAACAAATCAGAATTACAAATACCTTACCTAACTGAATAAATTGAGGCTCACTTTTCACTCCAGCTCCAGCTCCAGTACTTGCTGCCACTTCCACACTATATCGAATGCCAGGAACTAGGGAAGGGATTACCACAGAAAATGTAGAACCATCCACTGTCTTATTTATGTGGTATCGACTTTCATTGCCAAGGCACCAGACCTGTAAGGAATAAAAGAATGTTCATATGCACAAGCTTTACAAAAAGAGATATGAATAATGATATGAAAAATGCCATATGGTATTTTCTACTTTACATAGCAAGCTGGATTCAGCTAAATTAATAGATCTGTTGAAAAAACTGTTAACAAATTCATATAAACACCAATAAAAACAAATCATTTGAATTAACATGTGAATAAGGTTGCTAAGTAACCTGATAATATACAACACATCCTTTTCCCCTTCTATTTTTGAAAATTCTGAACAATCCATATGTTATTACTGGAGAAAAATTCAGTAGTTTACAACTGTGGGAAACAAATTAGCATATGCCTTTCCAGAACTCCTTGATACAAGTTCACTGGAATTTTACTGCTTATCCAGTGTACAGAAATACAATTTGATCTGTAGCACTCATAACAGACCTAAACAGGAATAGACATCATACTTCATCAATATGTGCCACATTCATTTAGTATATATTTCAGGATTCATTTCAGTCCTACTTTTCTACTCAAAATGATTCAAAGTTTGTAGCAATATACACATACATACAACAAAGCATTAGAAACCCACAGCATTAAAAGCTCAAGCAGAAAATGAACACAGGAACAACATCCATTATTATGAATCATTATTATTATTATTATTATTATTATTATTATTATTATTATTACAACATTTCTATGCTGCCCCTTGCCAAAGCCTCGGGGCGGCTTACAACACAATAAAATACATTGAAATACAATAGCACATAATAAATTACCATTAAATACAAAAATACAAAAAATACATTGAGTTACAAACATAATAATATAAAATTAAAATTATCAGTATAAAATAAGTAAATAAATAATATAGGAGGAGAAAAGAGAAGGAAGAAGTTGCCCTGGCCAGATCATATATTTTAACAATTAAAATGATGTTTAAATAAAAAGGTCTTTACCTGGCACCGAAAAACCAGTAACGACGGTGCCAGGCGGACCTCTTTGGGGAGTGAATTCCATAGGTTGGGCGCCACCGCAGAGAAAGCCCTCCTCCGAGTATTTACTCTCCTAATTTCTTTCATGGAGGGTTCCTGGAGAAGGGACTCTCCCGCAGATCTCAAAGGGCGGTCGGGCATATACGGACGTAAGCGCTCGTTCAGGTAGCCCGGACCCAAGCCGTTTAGGGCTTTATAGGTCATAATCAACACCTTGAATTGGGCCTGGGCTTCAATGGGCAGCCAGTGAAGCTGATGGAGGACTGGAGTCATGTGAGCATAACGCCCCGTCCCCGTCAGCAACCTGGCAGCTCTATTTTGCACCAATTGAAGTGTTCGGACCGTCTTCAGGGGAAGCCCCACGTAAAGCGCATTACAGAAGTCTAGGCGGGAAGTCACCAGCGCGTGTGTCACCGTCGCCAGGCAGTCGTACTCCAGGTAGGCGCGCAGCTGATTAATCAGCCGAAGCTGAAGGAAGGCGCTCCTTGCCACCGCTGTCACCTGAGCTTCCAAAGAAAGCTCCGGGTTGAGGAGTACTCCTAAGCTGCGGACCTTATCCCTAAGAGGGAGTGTTGCACCATTCAGGACCAGGTCAACTCCACCCTCTCCGAAGCCCGATCCGCCAACCAACAGGACCTCCATCTTGTCTGGGTTGAGTTTCAGTTTATTGGCCCTCATCCATTCCATTACCTCGGCCAAGCACCGGTTCAGCACAGCCACTGCCTCACCTGGATTAGTGGAAAACGAGAGGTAGAGCTGCGTATCATCAGCGTACTGATGATTCCGCAGCCCACACCTCCTGATGACCTCTCCCAGCGGTTTCATATAGATGTTAAATAGCAGAGGGGATAGAATGGAGCCCTGTGGTACTCCATGGCATAGCTGCCATGACGCAGAGACATGGTCCCCCAGCACTACCTTCTGGAATCGACCGTTGAGATAGGAGCGGAACCATTGCAAAGCGGTGCCTCCAACCCCCAATCCCGCTAGCCTATCCAGAAGGATACCATGGTCGATGGTATCGAAAGCCTCCGAGAGGTCCAGAAGAACCAACAGGGATGCACTCCCCCTGTCCTTCTCCCTGCACAGGTCATCGTACAGGGCGACCAAGGCAGATTCAGTACTGTACCCGGGTCTGAAGCCAGACTGAAAAGGATCCTGATAATCAGTTTCATCCAAGAGTGCTTGGAGTTGTCCCGCCACCACTCGCTCCAACACCTTGCCCAGAAACGGGATGTTGGCCACAGGTCTATAGTTAGTGGCCATCTCTGGATCCAGTGACGCTTTCTTCAGGACTGGTCGTATTACCGCCTCCTTTAAAGGGGCAGGCACTCGACCCTCCCTCAGAGAAGCATTAACCACTTCCAAGATCCAGGTCCCAATCCCGTGCTTGGAGTTATTTATTAACCAAGACGGGCAAGGATCCAATAGGCAAGTGGTGGGACGTACTCGTCCAAGTACCTTGTCCACATCATCAGGCCGCAATAATTGAAATTCCTCCAACAATTTTGGACCAGACGGTAGCATTGGCGTCTCCCCAGAGACCTCTGATTCATTAGTGGAGTCCAGCTTGTGACGAATCTGAGCGATTTTCTCCCTGAAATGCCTGGCAAAGTCGTCACAGCGGTCCTTTGAGGGTGGCATCGGATCTTCCTTAGGACCCGGGCGAACCAGGCCTTGTACCACTCGAAAAAGCTCCGCCGGACGGCATTGTGAGGAGGCAATGGAAGCGGAAAAAAACTTCTTTTTCGCCGCCTTCACCGCCACAGCATAAGCCCGATAGTGGGCTCTCAAGTGTGTTCGATCAGATTCATCCTGTGATTTCCTCCACCTACGCTCCAGTTGTCTCCCAACCCGCTTCATCGCCCGCAATTCAGGTATATACCAAGGGGAAGAGCGGACTCTGCCCGGTGGGAGAGGACGCTTGGGAGCGATCGTGTCCACGGCCCTGGTCATCTCTCCGTTCCACAGTTCGACCAGAGCCTCGACAGGAGCACCAGTCTTGTCAGCTGGAAACTCCCCCAGGGCCTTCAGGAATCTATCTGGATCCATCCGGCTCTGGGGGCGGGCCCATACAATCGGCTCCGCACTCTTATAGAGGGAGAGGCCGCTCTTGAGCACAAACCTCACCAGGAAGTGATCTGACCATGACAGGGGAGTCAAACATAAGTTCCTCACCCTCAGGTCATCCTCACCCTCAGACCACCCTCTTCCTGCCCCGTTGAGAAAACCAGGTCCAGAGTGTGTCCACGTTCATGGGTCGGGCCGATGACGTGTTGAGACAGGCCCATGGCCGTCATAGAGGCCATGAAGTCCTGAGCCGCCCCGGTCAGTCCAGACTCGGCATGGAGATTGAAGTCCCCCAGGACCAACATCCTGGGGGTCCTCAACACCAGGTCCGAGACGGTCTCTGTCAGCTCAGATAGGGAGACTGCTGGGCAGAAGGGTGCACGGTACACCAATAGAATCTCCAATCTGTCTCGTTCGCCCAACACCAAGTAGAGGCACTCCAGCCCTGGCCTCGAAGGGACCGGAAGACCCGTGAGAGAGATGGAGGCTCGGTAAACCAACGCGACTCCCCCTCCGCTCCCTTCTGGGCGTGAACAGTGTTGAACCAGATACCCGGGTGGGCACAATTGGGAGAGGGCAACATCCCCTCCCTCTCCCGCCCAGGTCTCCGTTATGCAAGCCAGGTCGGCCCCCTCATCCACAATCAAGTCATGGATGAGGGAAGATTTATTATTGACCGACCTGGCATTGAGAAGCAGCACCGTCAGGCCCGAGGGGTGGTTGACAAGGCTACCTGGCACCCTCTGGCTGGGGGCAGAACCAGAAGGAGGGATAGGTGTCAGCCATCTGTCCATCCTTCTTCATTAATAGTTGTGGCAAAGGCAAAGGCATGGTTTTCAATGGTCAGGCCAACGTCCTTCGAGAAGAATGTCTAAAAACTCAGTGTCATAACAGCAAAACATCTGTCTCATTCTCAGTCACCTATCCTTTTAAAAGTGTGGAGACAAGAAGGAAGACCAACAAAGTTGATGCCACAAAGGGCAAATAGACATAGGGGGGAAATGCTCTTATTATATCCCACTTCTAAGCCACTAAGGCTTTAAAGGTCAATAAAAGAACTTTGAACTAAATTTAGAAACAAATTGGCACCCACTACAGGAATGGCATTAAATGTTCTAACTTGTAACTCCTATTTAATATCCTTGTCACTGTATTTTATATCAGCCGAAGTCTCCAAGTTCTCCTCAAACACAGTTCCACATTTCCATTATGCCGAAGACAAGTTCCTATTCATTATTTAAAGACATTAAGCTAATAGCAGGGATAGGGAACATGTGGTCTTTTGTCCAACTCTATTAAAAGAAGGAGGAATATGTTGTTGGACTTTAGTTCCCATCATCCCTTACCTTTGGTTATACTGACTAAGGCTAATGGTAGTTGCAGTACATCATTATCTGAGGGCCACATGTTTCCCATCCCTGTGACATAGTTGGGGAATAGTTTGGTGGAAGCTTCAGTTAGTTGTGTCATTTATATATTTATTTTGATTTCACAACATGTATAAATATCTTGATAGCTTTAAAAAATCTGGAGTGGTGTACAAAAATACAAAAGAATAAGCCCACGCAAATTTCAATTGCACCAATAAAACAGAGGCTGGCCTTTCATTCAGGAAAGGTTTCCTTAAAGATTTGAAAGCCAGTGTGTCATAGTGCTTAGAGTTTTGGATTGGGTCTCTAGTTCATGTAAATCACCAAGTCAGTCATAGATTCTCAGTCTAACTACCTTACAAGGTCATTGCTGTGGGGATAAAATAGAGGATAAAAAACCTTGTAAATCAATCAGATTCGTTGCAAGAGGAAAAAAGTGGGGTATAAAGGTAATAATATGATGATGACAATAGTAATTATTTTATCAGATACTGAAAACAACAATATTGGTGCTTATTGGATAGTAGGTGATAGAGAGGTACATGGGAAGGGAACACATACAGTATATTAAAATTTCAATGACTAAAACTCTAGTGAGACTCAAAATGGACAACAGAGCCCATATGAAACACCTTAACCTCTTCTGTTACCAGAATCCTAGTAGCCTGTGGCCCAAAGGCTGAATATAGCTGACACAACTTCCCCAACTGGTCCACCAGCCACTTCGCATGGCTCAACTCTCTCTCCCCAGACAGCAAAAAGTTGTTATCTCCAATCAGTTTTTTCCTGGTTTGTGTACCAGTTTTTTAGTGCTGCACAGTGAGAAAAGGGTTCTTTTTTCACCACAGGGCCGAGAAAGGCTGAGAAATTGCCCATGGGGAGAAAATTCCCTGTTCCTCAATTTTTCTGCCGTTCATTGCCACGGAATGATAAAGGCATTCCTTGTCACCCTGAAAGCACAAAAACACAACAAACTGTCACTGGAGGAAGACAGAAATCTCATTCATCTGTACTTCACTGCATGTCCATGCAAGGCTGTCTGTGTGTGTGTGGGAGGGGAGGGGGATGGAGAGAGAATGGGGTGAATGGGATGTGTGTATCTGCCAAAGTTTGCTGGAGCTTTTTTGCATACTATTTGTAATCATTTTAAAAAGCAAACTTGTAAATATAAATGATACTAGTCTTAGTGCATGCATGTGTGTTAGGGTGAGGCTCACTGTGGCTGCTGTTTGGGTTATATTGGCACTCTATGGCACTGCAAGTAGCTCATGGCTGTTATACCCTTATAGGTGGGAGCATCACAAGAATAGTGCATGACAGAAGAAGGGCAGCTGGCAAATGGTAGATTGAGATATTTTGATGGATCTCAGGATGATTTGCAAAAGATCACCAAAGGTTTCTGACTTCTAATTGTATATCATTAGCAACAAAAAGGGGCTTAGATGGAAGAAAGCATGGGCTAAAAAGATGGAACTGTTTTTTCCTGTGATTGCTCTGTGAGCTCTGTTCTGATATTGAAAAGGGATTCCTGGGATAAGCATGTGCTCTTGCTTCTGAAATCCAGGAGTATACCTACTTCTGATCTGAGCCACTATTTTGCATGTCACTTAGTTGGTGGACCTGGAGTTCTAGTAAAAAAATAAAAAAATTAGATCCTGCAAATCTGTTGTCTGCCCATCCCTGTTATATGACATGCCAGTGTGGTCTAGAGGTGTTGTTTTCCTTTATTTTTGCATTCCAGGGAAATGCAGTAATTGAGAAAGGACTCTGAAGAATCTGATGAAAAGTGGTTACTTTTCTCAATTTCCTTAATAAATATTTGTAATAAATAATTTTCTTCTAACTATCCCCCCTCACTGTCCACCACATGCACTGCATATAAAGCTTAGAGGTCTCACAACAGCCCATTGATCTGATGAAATGGGCTATGGTCCATAGCATCTTATGACAGCATAAATTTGTTTGCGCAGACAAAACTCTTTAAGTGTCATTGCAACGTACTGCAGGTTGCTGATAATTTCCAGCACAGTGGACATAAATTACACTGAATTATATGACTTAATGCTGAATGATATACTAATCATGCCTGGTGTACCTATGTGTGATTATTTTTGCTGTATCTATGTGCGTGACTCCAATTCAAATTGGGATCATGGCGCTTGGTTCTGGGTAGGAGTGTGGGAGTAAACCTTCTGCTAATATCCCTTGAAGAACACCCACCTAACCCTCTCTGTGTATGGCATTTATACTTAGTGATATCAATATTAGACATGCATGACTACCCTTCTGTTCATTCTTCTCTTCAGGTGTTCAAAGCATACATGTGCATGCACATGCACACAAAATCCCATTGAGGGGATTCTCAAGTGTTTGATATGAATGCTCAAAAGATGCAATTTAGCCACCACCTTCTTTTTCCTGGCAGTTTTTTTTTCCCTTCTCCAAACCAAAATGATCCTTACCTTATGGGAGAAAAGCAAGAGGCAGGTCAAGACTTCCATGTATATAGAAGTGGTTAATGCATATTGTTAATACATAACATGAAGACAAGTATATTGATGGCATAAAAGATACATATCAATAATTGCTCGTAACAGCACTTTTGAAAACCCTCAAACTTAATCATGCTCTTACCCTGGTTTTGTAGCAATCTTCACTGAACTAGAATGGCTTATTTGTGTAATATGAATTAGTCCAGTTTTTCAACTTACCTTTGTCATTCTGTACTTGACACAGGCACCATTCCCATTTAGTTTATGTTTATGATTGTAGAAAGAATGTAAGCAGCAGGATGGTGAATTATGACTACATACTTTCTTTATATCCATGTGATTATGCACAAAGAAGGTAACATAGTTTTGCCTTCAAATTCTAAGAAAAAATAACTGGGAAGGTAATGGGTGATCATTTCATTGTACTTTGATTTTTACCACCAGATGGAGCCAAGTAACCACAAACTAGTTCTCTATCAATAGCTTGCAAGTAGTTTGCCAGGACAGAGCTCAGTGTTACCTTGTATTCCTGAACCATTCCATTCTGTGTGTCCTCTGGAGGAGGCTGCCAAGTTATTACAATTGCAGTTCCATTTCCATCATTCTTGGTTACTGATACACTTTGTGGAGGAGCACTTGGAGCTTTTTTGTGGAAAGAAATATGACCGATTAAGTTTATTTTTCCAGTATCACCCTGAAACATGGCAACTAGTTCTATATGTAGATAAAACATATTATATAACACAAAAATATAGCTGCAATTATCTGAAGAAAATAGATGAAGAACACAATAATGTAAGAGAATCTGGTCTTGTTTAGCTTTTTTTAAAAATACAAAAAAAGGCTTCTAAAGGTTTCTTCAGTATGTTGCCTCTGATAATTTTTGTGCTGATGTGATTTCAAATGAATACAATGGAAATAAAGCTATAAACTGAATGTGTGAAGATCTGAACAAGAATTAACTGCATTTCAATTTCTGTAATTCAAATGAATACAAATATACTATGATGAACATGGACAAACTCAGGACAACTTATGGGGCTTCTTAAAATCTCAGCAGTCACTATTTGTGTATTTCCTTTATTTTGTGTTGCTTTCCTTACGAACCCTTTTAGAGAAATGGAGGCAGCTGCATGCACACCAGACATGTCACCTTGAGAGATGTTCTGGCTTCCTAAAGCAGGTATTCAAGATGTGAAGGAGAGGCTACTGAGACTCATCAAATTAACTGACTACTAACCTTTCTTGCTGATCCATGCAGAAACACATGATACAGCCAGAAGAACTGCTGAATAGTTCCATAAAGTCTATAATGCTCAAGGTATGAAAGTGAAGGAACTGGAGACATTAGTAATGCTTTCATTAGTCTTTCCTGTCCAAGGTCAGGGCATTGGTAAATAAAGATAGATACTGAAAATGCATAGCTATGCAGTTGGTGTCATCAGGGAAGGGAGTAAATAGGGGATATTTCTTGTTTTTCTTTTTCCATAGTATTAGAACTCAGGATCATCCCCTTGAAATAAATAGGTGGGACAATCAGGATATATAAAAGGAAGTCCTTCACAGACTGCAGAGTTAAATTATGGGGTTCACTTCCACAAGATGTAGTGATGGCTAGCAGTTAGGATGGCTTTAAACAGGCGACTGAAAAAAATGATGGACGAAAAGGCTCCCAATGGCTACTAATCCCGATGGCTACATGTTGCCTCTGGTAGCAGAGACAGTATGCCTATATATACACCACTTGGTGGAGAACCTCAGTATTGGGGCACTTATATCCTTGTATGAGCAGCCAGTGGCCACTGTGTGAACAGAATGCTGGACCAGACAGAGCATTTTTCTTGTCCAGCATGGCTATTCTTATGTATTTACTGTAATAGCAATATGTATTATTGTTACTCCTTGAGAATAATAGGGAACTGAGTTATGGGAACTGAGAAGAATGTTTTTGGCAGGGCAGGAATGTCCCTAACAGACTGCTTTAAAGTACTTCCTGAAAGGTGGGGTAACTTGATAACTAACCACTTACACAAATAGATTACACAATGTGCAAGCTGATAGACAGAACAAGGAAATTGGGAAGGTACAACAGCCTTAACATCTGATGTCTATGCACTAATACATAGAGAACAGGAAACGAACCAGATGAGAATTTGAAATTATAATACATGATGGAAGTATGATGTATTAACTATTGCTGAGACCTGTGGTGTCAGAACCTTGATTGGAAGATAGCCATGTAAGGGTACAACCTATTAAAAAAACAAATAGCAAAAGAGGGGGAGTATCACTAGATATAAGCAATTACAGAGTTGTGTAAATCCATGATTCTGAGAATGGTGAAACATGTTGAAAACATATGGCTAAAGAAAGAGGGGAAAAAGAAATAAGAGTGATGTCGTTGTGGCAGTTTACTAGACTCTGCAGAGCCAGCTGGAAGACATGAACAGAGCCTTCCTGGGAGATAACAAATGAGGTATTTCGGTCTCCTGACACCTGCTGGAAGTCTGGTTCTGCAAATAATGCATCATCAGGAACCAGTGTGGCATGGTGGCTAGTATATCCGAATGGGGATCTAGAATATTTGGATTGTAGTGCTCACTGGATGACTTTGGGTCAGTCACTCACTCTCAGCCTAACCTACAGGGTTTTTGTTGAGAGGCTGAAAATGAAGTAAAGAAAGACAGTTAAACTGCCTTGGATTTCTTGCAAGAGGGAAAAATGAGATATAAATGCAATCTAAGAACCAAAACAACATTCAACAGATTATAAACTGTCTTCCTGATATCTTCATATCTTAGCAAATGTAAGATAGTTCAAAGGGATCTGATCTCCTAACCAATAGGAAATACATGCTAGATGAAGTTAGATGACTGTCATCTTGGAATTTGTGATAGAAAGTGCTGCAAACACTGAATCTTGCTGGATATGGACTTTGGACCTTAGGAAAGCCAATTTCAAACAGCTCAAATAACAATGGGGTGAGATTCTATGGCTAGAAATTTTGATGGAAACAGGAGTCCGATGGATAAGCAATCTTGAAAACTGAAATACTGCAGGTATAATGAAACCATTTCCATGACAAGGAAAATGGTGAGGGAGGGATAGGCATTTAAATAAGCCTGTGTGGTTGCACAGGCAGCTAAGATAAGCTGAAGGAAGGACATATTGGAATACCAAGTGAAATACAATAAAGTTGCCCAGATATGTAAATATTGTGTCAGGAAGGTGAAGACCTAAAATGAGCTGATGCTGAGCCCTGGTTTGACAGCACCAGTGGATGCAACAGTGTAATGCAGTAAGCTAAGAAAGCGAGCGTAATTTTGTGTTCCATTAACAGAACATTGCATCAAGGTCATAAGTAGTAATCATTCTTCTATGTGTTAGCCAGCTGCATGTGGAGTACTGTGTCTGGTTCTGGGCATCTTGTTGTAAGGAGAGCACTGACAAACTGGAAGACTTCAAGAGGTAGCGAGGAGTATGGATAGCAAATCCTATAAAAAATGGTTGAAAGAGAAGATTAAAGGGAGACAGTCTTCAAATAGCTGAATGAAGAAGAATGGAAGAATAAGAAGCAAAAGTGGTTTTCTGTTGCTCCAGAGGTCAGAACCAGAATCAATGGGTAGAAATTGGAGGTAAGTAGATTTTGCCAAAACATTAGAGGAAGCTTCCTAACCATGAGAGCTGTTCAGGAGTGGAACAGATTTTTCCAGGAGGTGGTAGATTTGATGGGGCAGGAAAGAGAGGACTAGTTGATTCCTTTAATCTATAATTAATATTTATTTATTTATTTATTTAAAACATTTCTATGCCGCCCCCATCACAACAAAGCCTCGGGGCGGCTCACAAAAAATACAAAAAAAAAAAAACATAAACAATAACAATGTAACAATTTAAAAGAAAAAAAAGATTTAAAACCCCCAGTGCATTCTCAGCTAATTTAAAATCCTAATAAATACAATAATTTAGCAATTAAAATACGTTTTAAATAAAAAGCTCTTAGCCTGGCGCCAAAAAACAAATAATGACGGTGCCAGGCAGACCTCTCTGGGGAGTGCATTCCATAGATGGGGCGCCACCGCAGAGACAGCCCTCCTCCAGGTACTCACCCTCCTAATATCATTCACAGAGGGTTCCCGGAGAAGGGCATCCGTTGCTGATCTCAAGGGATGGGGAGGGGAGCTAAGTGGTACTTATTTTGTGTTCTTCTCTTCATTCATCATCTTTTAATACACTTATTCGAAGTAGTGTAGATAGGGAGTCCTCTAATGTGTCATTTTCATTCCTTGAACTAGAGTACTTTGATGGTTCCTATGGTGTCAGTTATATACTTCAGACAATAATTATCAAGTCTCTGAATTTGGCACAAGTCATTTGTGACCAGTCCATGAACTTGGCAGACATGCACACACCCAGCATTAAAAACAGAAATTCGCATAATATCTTTGAGGGGATTTTTCATTTAAATAGTTCTGAATATTTACTTCTGTGTCAACAAACAAATCAAATATTGTTCAGCCCTATGCACTGACATTTTCTTTGGTAAAGGTAGCTGTTCCAATGTTAAAAAGCACTTCAAAGAAAATCAAATAATGAACATACCAGGGAGAAACAAGCCAAAGGAATACTTCAAAAAGAAAAGATGAAGACAGCCATGCTACTACTTGCCTTCTTCCAGAGTTTTAGCAAATTTCACTTCACTATCAGCTCCTTGAAATTCATTAAAAAAAGGCCGAGCCTTAATTTCATAGTTCACTCCTTTTTTGAGTTTTGGAATGACAACACTATTTTTCGTTGGCGTCCTTACTTCAAAAATCAACCACTCTGACTCTCCTTGAGAAGCAGTTGCTGGCCTGTACAAAATTTTGTATCCCTGAATATACTGGGATTGTTGGTCAACCTATCAGTGGAGACAGAACAGCCTATTAATTGGTTGGCAAGTATCAACTGGAAATAGTTTTATGTGTCAAAATGTAATATAACCATGGCAAATCATGGAACACATTCATTTATGCATGTTTCATTAAACTGATATTTAACTCGTTTCAAATGACAAGCAGGCTGAATTTAACTGGGCTGTAAACAACTAGTTAGGGAACATTTAAGGAATAAGATTATATAGTTATTCCATCTATATAACTGCTTTCAGTTAGGCTATTTTTTGTTTCTACATTCCTGCTATGTCAAATTAGAGACTGCAAGATTGAAACAACTGTAATTTTAGATCATGCTCCAGATAAAGCTGTGGGTTATGAGCTAGTTTTGAAGCCACCCACTTTGTGTATCTTGCTTGCTTTGGACAGTACAGGAAGCGACACATGAGTAATTAGCCAAACTGCAGAGCATGCAACCAATGAATGCAAGAGGAGAGTGTGTTCTCATTTTCAACATAGAAGCAGAACCAAACTTGTTAGGAACAGATACAAATTATCTACAATATATTGTAAAAATCCCCTAAATTTCCAAGCACATCACATTGTGATGGGTGGGGAGGTTGGGTGGCTGAGGCAGTTGGATGGTCAAGAAATTTATTTATAAATAAATAAAACTTAATATTTGACCACTTGTCATCTTACCTCATTAAAGGGCAGGAACAGATGTACAATAGTAAAGATCTTTGAACTATGAAAAAATGAGGTGGTATCTATGCAAGCACTAAGTAATGTTCCAATTAAATGTTCTGAAGAGTACTAGAGAGGTTAGCAGAGCCCTGTTTGTTTCAGTCCATCTTACTTAAAGAAACTGCAGTCTCCTAACTGTATATAATGCTGTTGTTTAATTTCTGGTTCCCTCAAAACACATGCATTTGATAAAATAGACTTTAGACCAAAAAAGCTTATGCCATAATAAGCTTTTAAGGTGTCACAAGAGGCTTTCCCCTGGATGCAGCAGATTAAAAAGAACAGCCAATTGGCACAATCTCCGTTCTGCCAACTCAAGTTGGCTTAGTTAAATATAGTCAGATTAAACAAATATCTTCCTCTTCTCTCAAATTCTTAGCTGGAGGCATTGCACGCTATAGCTCATGATGTCTTACAGAACCAGTTAAGATTCCCATACTAAAATTTAGTATTAAATAAATACTAAAATTTATTTATTTATTTATTTTTCAATTTATATCCTGCCTTTTCCCTGCAAAGGGCTCAAGGCAGCTTACATTATTTTCCTCCTCCATCTTATCCCCACAACAACAACCCTGTGAGGTAGGTTGGGCTAAGAGTCTGTGATGGCCCAAAGTCACCCAGTTGGCTCCATGACTGAGCGGGAACTAGAATCCAGATCCTCTGAGTCCCAGTCCCATGCTCTTAACCACTACACCACACTGGCTTTCTCAGAAAAAAAAAAAAACAACAGGACTTAGAACTTCTTATGAACCTGATAAATTTAGAGCATCATTCATTATCATTTAAGCGTATTTTTATAATACCTATTATGTATGTCGTCAGTGTGAAGTAGTGTTAGGATCAAGGGACATGAGTTCCACACCCTTCCCACCTGATGTAAAGAAACTCAGCACATAAATTTTCCTATTCATATACAGTGATAATGAACCAACAGTTTCTCACCCATGGGAGTTATATAGTTTAGAAATGTACGTGACATTTACAGAGAAAAACATGCATGCATAGAGATGAGTGCATTTACCAGTGATGGTTAGTATAGTTATACCTAGTACGTGGTGAATTGAGATGTTGCCTTACTTTGATAAACAAGTATTTACTTATTCATTCATTTCCCACTTTTTTCCTGCAAAGTGGCTCACATAATCCTTCTCTTCTTCCTCCCCATTTTATCCTCACAAGATTCTTGTTACGGCTAGGCTGATAGTAAGTGAGAGGCCCCAAGTCACCCAGTTTCTTGGCTGAGTGGAAACTAGAACCTCAGATCTCCTGAGTCTAACACCCTAACCACTTTGCCACACTGGCTCTCAATCGAATGTATCTTGTCTATAAATGTAAGCATATCAGAGTAATCACTCTCAGTTTCATTAGGGGTTTTTTCTTAGGGGAGGTGGTGGTTAGGTTTATAAATCTCATTCCTGGTTGCCACACTTAAAAAACAAATTGTATAAAATTACAAAAAAAAGTTTTGTTTTTTTAAAGTCATGGTCAAACACTTTACTAGTAGCTGTTGTTGCGCACATTTTGCTCCTGTTCTATTCTATTCTATTCTGCTTTATTTCTATTCCACCTCATAGCCAAATTTATTTGTGCAGTGTACAACAATTAGTAAAATACAAGATAAATTAACAGTTAAAACATTTTAAAAACCCCATTCAACCACAATTTGGAACAACCAAGTCAAGCCTATACTGCTAGGCCAGCTAAAAACACCTGACAATATTCTCCATCCCATGTGCTGTTTGGGTTTGTAAATGCCTTAGGAATTTACAAGAGTGCAGTCTTAACCTGGTCGTGAAAAGATAGTCAAGTTGGTGCCAGGTAGGCCTTGTTGGAGAGATTGTACTACAGTTTGGAGGCTATCAGAGAGAAAGGTTTCCTCCTTATTGCTACTAACCAAGCATCCCTTGCAGATGGCTTTCATAGGAAGGCCTCAGTTGTACTGTCTGGACCGACTGCAGTTGGAAGAGCTGTTTTGTCTGGTATTGTGATTCCAAGCTGTGTAGGGCTATATAGGTTAAGACCACATTTCAAACTGGCTTTGGAAGCATACAAGCAGTCAACACAAGTGGGTCAGAATTGGTGCTATGTCTGGACTTTCTGGTCCAAGTTATTAATGCTGCGCTTTACACAAACTTCAGCTTCAGGGACAGCCCAAGAAGACCACATTCTAGTAATCTAATTTAATGATCAGCAGAGAATAGATTACTGAAACCAGGCAATCTCTGTCTAGACAGGAATGTAGAAGGCACTCCATGCTACTGAGGCTACCTTGGTCTCTAATGACAAACAAGAGGCCACCGAAACTATGAACCTGCTCCTTCAAGGGGAGGACAACCCCATGCAGGGCATGCTGAGCACCCTCCATCTGATCAGAAGAACTGCCTGCTAACAAGATTTCAGTCTTGTCTGGATTCAGAGTTAGTTTGTTAGCCATCATTCCATCCATTATCACAGCAAGACACTGGTTTTAGCACATCCAGAGTTCACCTGCTGAAGAGGAAAAGGATAAATACAGCTGATGGCAATACACCCCAAAGCTCTTAATTAAGAGCTTAATTCAAAGCTCTTAAACCACTTAATGGTTTCATGTAGATGTTAAATAGTGGGGTGGAGGCGAGAGGACGAACCCTTGAGAAACCATATAGTGGATAATTCTCCAAGCACCATATTCTGGAGCTGGCCCTCCAAGCAGGATTGGAACCACTGCAATGCAGAGTCCCCATTCCCAGCTCAGATAGCTGCCCCAGAAGGATACCATGGTCAAAGATACAAAAACCTGCAAAGAGGTTCAGGAATATCAACAAGGTCAGAATCACCAATCTCTCCTTGGCATAGGTCATCATACAGGCCAACCCAAGTCAAAACCAGGCTCAAACCCTGATTAAAGTGGGTCCAGATAATCAGTCTCATCTAAGAGTGCCTGGAGCTGATCAGCCACTACCTCCTCAAGGACTTTTCCCAAGAAGGGAACATTTGCCACCAGCCTAAGTATATTTGAGTCTTCTGTGTCTAGAGGTTTCTTCCCTTCTCTTTAAGGGAGCTTGCAACCACTCTTCTCATAAAGATCCACTGATCACCTTATTGGCCCAGCTGGTTGTTTCTGCTATAAGCCGAGAAGGACAAATATTCCATATGGATGCGGTGGTACCCTCCATCTTGCCACATCCTCAAGCTGAATCAAATGAGACTTTATTATATTTATACCCCCCCTTTTTTTGTATGGAACCCAAGGTAGTTTAAAGGGTCCTTCTCCTCTTCTCAAATATATATATGGATCTGATTAAAATGTAGAAGCTACTTAACAGGAATTTTGGCCCAAGCCAAACAAACACATTGAGAGAGGGGGGGAAGGAGATCGAATTTTTGAATCCTGGTTTTATTACTTGAAGTTACTTTCCCTTGTTTTAACTATATTATGAATAAAAATAACACATAACTTGAAAATTGCACTGATTTGCCCAGGTTGTGTTAAAAAAGGTGCTTAGAGCAGTGTTTCAGTATTAGAGCAGTCATACTGCACCATAGTAACTTCGTACACTTCGTTGTGCATCTTGCATTCAGAGTAAAAATACTGAATGGAGGTCAAGTATTGTTTCCTAAGTAGTAAAAATCAATTCTTGTGAACTGGCTTTTCCCCTAAACTTTAATTGCACACATTTACTTAAAATAGTTATAATAATATTTATTAAAATATTACTGGGTATTATTAAAATACTTAACAGCCAATAGTTTTCAGTATGGCTTACAATATGTTTCAGATTTTTTTAAAATCTAAAACAAAATGTACAACAACCCACCGACAGATTAAAGCTGATCCACAGACAACCATTTTAGATTCCAGAAATAATCTTATAAATATAAAAATAAGAATAGAACTTTTATAAACAGCTTTTCCCATATGCTTATACTTTGTCAAAAGTATGTTACTGTATTTCAATATGCTTTCAGGAGCCTTCTTTGTATATGCTATCGTATTTTGGTTACTTACTGTCCAATGAACTTCAATTGAGGAAGAAGAAAGAATTGTGGGATTATGGAGATGTAGAACGACATCACCCAACTCCCTCTGTACTTGCTTGTGATCCACACCCTGGCTTGTTGGTGGAACATCTGCAACAATTTGAATGAACTGTTATAAATTTAGACTTCCAGCATATGTGGAAAACGTCTGAAAGAAAAGTCTAATCCTACCAGAGACAGAATGTTAACATGAAAGAAAATACGTTTTGGTGGGGTGGCAGAAGCAAAAAAGCAGTATTTTCTGTTTAAAACAAGTTGTGCAAGGAGGACACTGCCTGTTTTAAAGCTAAATCACAGTCCTAGTATGCAGCTTTTATGCTACTGCTGCAACAACAACAAAATTAGTAGCTATGTGGCGGCACAGTGCTAGAAATTTCAGGGTGGCAGCAGACTGCAAGGATTCCATATAATTTAGAGAATGAATATCCTCGTAAGTCTTTAATCGCTCAGTCACTGGCCTGCCTGTTTACTAGCTCAGGTCACTACTTACAGTGTTCTTTTTTAACACCTTTGTAGAATTCAGTTCATGATCTTTAAACACTTCTGTAAGACTGATCAGGTTATGTAACTATAGCAATATGTACACAACAGGCTATGACTTGGAGAAGCAATTGTGAGTGGAATTGCTTTTGCAGCACTTCAAATAAAATTGTCCCATGTAGTACTTTCACCAGAACTCTGCTTAAGTGACAAAGCTTTTCAGCTGCCTTCTACCCACTTCAACCAGATACAAAGGAGGATAAGGGGGCCCTCTGAAGTGCCAGGAGCTTGGTGTAACTGTATGCGTTAGCTCTGGCATGCAAATTGTGTGAACAGAAATTCCTATTCATTTCTCCAGGGCACAATTGGATTCAAACCTATGTGTCCTTTCAAAATTCCATAGTTCTACAAAAAGATAGGTCCTGTGAGAGGTTAAATGTGGTTAAATTCAGCATTTAGTACACAACAAACATAACAACCCTATAACTCTAAAAAAATAGGGAGGGTGAGTATCAAGAAATATCAGCGCTACTTTAATTCTGAAAATTATTGTCAGCTTTCTTGTTGTTATGAATTGTCAGGTTGTCTCTGACTAATGGCAACCCTACAAATGAAAGCTCTCCAAAATGTCCTTATCATGACATCCCTACTAAATTCAAGCTGTGACTTCCTTTTTGAGTAAATACATCTATTCGGTCTTTTTTTCTTCTGCTTTCAACTTTCCCTGGCATGGTTGTCTTCTCCAGTGGCTCTTTCCTTCTTATGATGTGTCCAAAGCATGAAAACCTCAGTTTTGGCATTTTTCTAGAAGTCAGAGACAACTTCATGGCACTCAACAACAACAACAAAGAAAACAATAATCTTCAGAATTAAAAGTAACATTGATTTTTAATACTCACATCATAATTTTTAGACAGGCATAATTGTATTTTGTCAAAATATGCATCATAGAACTTTGTTATTGGAGTTTTTAAATAATCTTTGGAAAGCCATTACCCAACCAAGAAGACAACATTGGGTTAGATGGAATAATTATCTGCCTCACTTTAAGGCAGCTTCTTTTATCTTACACCTGATAAAGTGGTGCTGCATTTTACATAGATGTAAAAATAGTTTTTACTTTGGCTTTTGTGTCTTCAGATTTTGCTGGATGGAGAAGGACCTGACTTGACTAATGCCAATTCTCATCCATGTTATTATTAAGCATTGTGTAGCTAATTTAGAAATTAATAAGTCTATGCGGTAGACCAGTTTCTGGGAGAGAACTGTGCATTTGTCCAGAACTTGATGTTTGCAAAGTTGTAACTCCTATGTCTGATGGGACAAAGGATTCAAATTAAGAAGTGGTTCGTTCTTATTTAGTGGAATATGCTTTGGTTAACACATGGCTCTTTCTTGCATGTAAAGGAACTATTTTGTGTTGTCGTTTTTCATCATTAGTTAAAACTGCTGAATCTGCTTCCTTTCAAGAAGCACCCATATCCAAACATCAATTCAAGGGTGCAATGGTCACCTTTAGCTCATTTTTAAATGTATGTTTTACCTTGTGTTTTCACTGGATCAGATATCTGGCTGGGATCACTAATTCCATATGCATTAGCAGCCCGTACAAGGAACAGATAAATTGCATTTGGTTTCAGTCCTTTAACTGCAAATGTTTCTGTTTTCACATTTTCTGCTACAGTTTGCCAGCTGCTGCCAGCTGCATGGCTAAGGATGAAGCACACACACAAGTTAGTGCAAGCTTGCATTTTAAACAACCTAAAAACAAACAGAGGCAGATCACATGAAAGATGTTTTACCTGAAGGCCTCTATTATATAAGAGGTTGGTGTTGCACCAGAATTCAAATTAGGCTTCCATGACAGCATTACGGTATTTCTGCTAACATCAGTAACTTCAGGTTTTGATGGTGCACTTGGAATCAAGTTAGGGTCAGTGGGTCTTGGTGGCTGCACTGGAACTCCAAATTCTAATGGTGATAAAAGGCATATAACATAGGAACAGCAGCATACTCACATCAGTTTGTTTAATTTATTACATAAACAGAGAATGACTCTAATTGCCTGCATTTATGGTTTTGCTGCCATCCAAAAGAATCTTGATTGATTTACCTTGGACTTCAATATAAGCATTCCATGATGCCTCACCACTTGGAGTGGAGGCAATGCAGGTGTACCGACCAGTATCACCCAGCTGAAGGAAAGAAAATAAAATAAACATTTGAAATAAGCAGAAACTCACTCATCAGTCTGTGTCCCCAGTATAACTCATTGTGAACACTCAATTCATTAAGAAAAAAGAAGGCACTCAAATGAGCTGTTTAACTCAACAAGCCATGGTGCTGGGAGCAGAGCTTCCTCCTTTGACCATTCAAAAGCCATGGATTGTTTTCTTTGCAAAGTGTTCTTTATTGACCCAAAAGCACTCTTTTAGTACTCAGAATGAATCTGGACATGTACAGAACAGTTTGTTGAACCTAATCTGGAATTCACTTTCGGGGTGGAGGTGGTTCTGAAAGCCAGCACACATCTTTACCATGTGTCTATCCTCTAAATGGGCCATTCTGCTCTGCTGATGCTGCAACATGGGAACAAGAGGTGGGGCTGCCTGAGCTGTGTCTGAGAAATGCCCATGTTCCAGGGTCCCTCCCACCAACTGTATATCTTGATTACTGCCTGAAACTCCCTGCCCACCTGGGGAGTCTGGACTTGAGATAAGCATTTGCATTCTCCCATCCCAGTGTCTTGGCAGGGTCCCACAACTCCACAACTCCATCCCATTCTGCTTCACATTATGATTCTGACTCCAGTTCTGATGAATCCCAGCCAGCAGTCCTTGAGAATGAGCATCCAAAGCAGCCATCCTTCTCACTCCCAACACATGGGTTGTTTATGAGTACACGGGAAAATGTAGGCATGCTGGTTCCCACCAACTTCCATTTCCATGAACACCACAATTCTCAGTCATTGTTATTATATTTGAAACTGCAAACTCTGGATTGTTTAGGGGCTTCCTGTTTCTTATGTAGCAGTACTAACCCAGGAGGACGGTCCTGGCTTTTGTGACCATATTTGCTGAGTCTGTGGTAACATCCATTTCCTGCACTATACCACACCATCAATGGGATACAGTATGTCTCCCTGGTGTGCCTATTGATTAATGTTGCTGGATAACATATGTGATTTTCCTTCTCTGGAGTTTCTTAGAGGCACAGAATACCACTGGTCTGTTAGGTTATCAGGAGCTGCTGGGACCTATCCACGGATCTTGAATCTAATTCTGTATATCTGGAGTTTTATTTCCTTTCTAGTGTCACAGAATAATGCATTTAACTGTTACCATATCATGAAGCATGTTCCTCTACCAAGTTACATTTGCCCAGAATGTATCACACTAATGCAGAATGACATATTCAAGGACAGCATAATTCTGAAAATCAGATGCTTTTCATGTCAGAGGCTTAAGAATTTCATGGATACCTTTAACCAGCCACTGTTGAAAACAAGGTTCTGGATTAGAATCACTTTGGCCTGACTTAGCCAGGCCTTTCTTAAATTTGGCTATGTTATGGTTGACTTCAAATGTATACTGGAAGTTTATTTTAGAAGCTCTTAAATTCTCATGATCAGTGGACCTGGGTTAGACTACTTATCAAACCCATATTGTTCTGGTCCTAAAATGACCATAGAGATAAAATCTCTCTCAGGCATTTTTGACATATCATAAGTGAATATCAGAAAGTGACATATCATTCAAGTCTTAAAATGACTGTAGATAAAAGTTATATCAGGTCTTGAAAAAGCTAATTAAAAACTTGCACTACAAGATAGATTTGATATAAGTTCAATTTTCTTGTCCTTATCATAATATTTTTGAAGTGATTTAGATGAAATGAATGCATCGAATACAATCCCGCAACGTAAGCCCACCCGTAATCACAACTAAAGACATATGCAAAGCAATTGAACCATTCTGAAAAGGCAAATCTTTTTTTTAATACACAGAACATGCCAGAAACACAAATTCATTACTGGAATGAAGAGTTGCATGGGCATGTAACTGCATAGTTTCAGGTACTGTATTGTACAAAAAGATGTCTTTACCTTTGGCCTAACTTTATGACTCAAGTTATCCTAAGGCAAAAGCTTCCAGCAAGTAAGAACAGGTGTTCATATGACTTGCAAAAACACTGTTTGCTACAACTTGTCTCAAACAAATAATGCATTGACCATGAAAGCTTCTAAAAGCTAGCTCAACATTTGAGAATAGCACTCAATCAGCAAGCATATAGGTGACAAAAGTACAGAAGTACAAGAACCACAGGAATAACTACCAGTTGAAAATATGAATCATAATAATATTTAAAAACTATTAATAAAATAGTTAAGATATCATGGGATACAAAAACACTGGACCTCTGCTGTTCACATACTTCGCTATGGTACAGCCCTATAGTAGACTTACAAAACATCTATGGCTAAAGCCTGTGCAATTATAGGTACTATTTCCTGGATTAATTTTTATTAGAAGAATTTTACTTATGAAATCTGAAAGAGCTTGCCAGTGGCACTATTATAATCAACGGTATTTTGGGAATTCAGCAAAAGCTATCTCAATAAGAAAAGAATTAAATAAAGATGGTGTTAAAACAGTTATTTAACATTTCATTAATTTTGAAATTAAAGATAGCAACATTTAGGGCCTCAAGGCAAATACTAAAGAGAAGTAAAATATGAAGAAATGTTTAGTTTCAATTTCAAATTACCTTGGCATATCGAATCTGTAATGCACCAGTTTCCAGCTGCTTTATTCGGGAATCCTGTGTAGAAATAAGGATGCCATCTTTTCTCCAGAGAATTGTGGGCATTAGAGTGCCAGTGGCCACACAGCTGAGTACTAAGGTACCATCCACAGCTACAGTTTGATTTACAGGACCCTGTCGAATGACAGGGGGAGGTCGGTCTGCAATTACTAGCAAAAAAGCAGAAGGGAGGGAAAAATAAAGGTTTCTCTAATGGGTGGCTTTTTCAGAATTCACAAGAATCTAAAGATATGTAAATAAGTGATTAAAATCCAAGATGTGCATTATACAGGTGATAGTAGTATGTAGTTCAACTATAGAATGTCCAATTTTATTATTTATATAAGAGGGAAAATACCTCATGCATTTGATTTTTCCTCCAATTCCTTTAGCTCCATTAACTTTTGAAGAGATAAAGCTCTGAATTACTTGCCTTCTTTGAAATATGTCCCTTTCTCTGTTTTTGTGTCTCACCAAGCAGCATGTCTAACTTATTAAAGAGTGGTAATTCCAGGATCTTTATAAATAAAGGTTGCCAGAATAAAGATAACTCAGCAGAAATCCATCTATAGCCTATACAGATGTGTCAAAGTATTTCTGCTTCCAAGAATTCAGATACTGCTTAGGTCATTAGCAATGAGTGAAGACAGCAAATATATCTAAGGTGGCATCACAGCTGATTAATGATTTTTCACAGCATTCTCTTAATACATTCTTACCATTTAGGTTTTAATTCTTAATGTCAATAATAAATCAACTTAAATTACCTTTACATCACATTAAATTATATTATTGCATTGTACATTTGTTCTGTGAACTTTATGATTTGTTGATTTATTGATTTGCTGAATTAATACAAGCAGAAACAAAATCTGTGATGTCATGGAAAGCAGATATTGATTTATACCATAAAATGACCAGAAAAGCAAATGGAAAAAGCCAAATACATTTCTGCAAATTAAGTTCTGGGTATTATGGACCTTTCAGCTCTTTGTGTCACTTTATACAAAAGGCTTGAGCTTGATACCTGAACTATAGCATGATTTCAGTATGTAAAATACTTTTGCTATGGTGATTAACACCATCGCCATGCTCATATTCACTTCATCAATTTTACCCACTAATATGGGGAAAACACATCTCCCCATATAAATTAAATGAACCTCAACTATAAGCATCATCATTAAATGACACCATCAACTTGACAGGCTTCTGGCTTCATTCAAAAATTCTCTGTAATATTTTCCAATTGATGCTGCATTTCTCCTTAGTTCCTTTTCCTGGGTAGCCTTTTGGCTGGTGCAAAAGTCGTAAGAATACCCAGGCAAAGTTCAGACATCCCAGTCTTAGTCCAGCAAACCACAGATCCTTCAACTAGAAATGCACCCTGCAAGGTGATAATACTCTAGCTTCTCAAACCACAGCCTTCTGTGATGTCTGATCATCTTAGCTCTGTAACTTGGCTTGCCAACAACTTAAAAGCCATAGGCTCCATATAGTTTTAATGGATGCTATCTGTTTGTATTGAATTTTAATGCATTTGCTGTGTGAGCCAGCCATTGAACATGTGTTCTGATGCAGGTATATATAGTAAGTAAATAAGAAACGGCAGTATCCCGGTTAGACATTACTGGCAACCCTGACTTAAGCTCGCAGCTTCTTTGCTGAAGGCAGACATCTGGCAGGAGATAGGAGCAAGCAGGCATTTAGCTAATTCCAGAGCCTATACACTGGTATTTTCCAAACTGAGATTGTGATATCTGAACTGAGCCTTGGCATTTATATAGCTCATTTCAGAAATTAAAAACTGTGCATGTACTTTGCTTCCACTATGTTACAGCCCTCTGCAGTGGAGTGAAAAATAATGCCCTATTTGTCCAATGTCCACAATAGAGGAACAGCGAGCTGTGCGGGGACAATTGTTCCACAGTGTAATTTAAAGTACCAGTCTTCCATATGGCATATTATTTTATAATTAAGGTGATATATATATATATATATATATATATATATATATATATATATATATATATGTTGCTTAAGAGATATTTTATAAAGTGCCTAGGATTTCACACAGCAGAAAACTCAGTATAATTACTTTTTATTTGGCTGGAACTATGCATTGAAAGGCAAACTATGCACAGTATGAAAGGCAAACAAGTTTCAGAATATAGTTTAAGCTGTACATCATGGAAAAATAATGGATTATGATGCTTGAGCATCAGGGGTCAGTCAAATTTTTGGGATCAGTCAAATTTTTCTATCTATGTTCCTCTTTAGTACATACAAACACACTCACCATGAAGCTACAGTCCTGTAAATAATGTAAGGCTTTGCATTTTAATTTTATTCTCACCGTATTTAGTGACAATATATAAATACAAAATCAAATCATCCCACCATTAGAATTACCATACCGTATTAGTAGCTGAAAAACAGAATTGGATATACAGTACCATCAGTAACCTCCAAGTATGCTTTTGTTGTGATGCTTCCTGCAACATTTAAAGTCTGGCAAATATAGTATCCAACATCAGAACGCTGAACATTGGTAATAGTTAGATCACCCGTTTGAGACACAGAAAACCGATTGGAAGACTGAGGAGGCTGGTATGAAAAAAGTAGGTTCTGGAAAATAGAAGAAGTGGAAAATGCAGATTCAGCTATAGTATCCTTCATATAGACATACATTTTAATGTTCCAAACATTTATAATCTTGGCCTTCATTCTCAGTATAACATCCCATTTTTCAGATAGAGCCTGATGCTATGAAATAGGTGAGACTCCACATAGCTAAAGCGAAACATAATTTTGATTTTCCATGAATAAGCTTATCTTGACCTTAATACAACATACTAAGGATTGCAAAGCACAATTCATGCTTACCTGTAAATAAAGTCCATTCAACTGTATTTGTGGTACAGTATCTAAGGATCTGATGTCAGATCAATTGAGCTAGATCTCTCTCTCTCTGAATATAATAGAGAGTTGGTTTTAGGTAGGCTGAGTTGGTTGTGGTGTAGTGGTCAGAATACTGTACTAGGGACCTGAGAGACTTGGTTTCTAGTCCTCACTCAGCTATGAAGCTCACTGGATGACTTTGGGCAGAACCACCATCTCAGCCTCACCTATCTCACAGGGTTGTTATTGTGAGGGTAAAATGGACTACAGGAGGCCTATGCAAGCCGCACTGGGTACCTCACAAGAGGAAAAGAGGTCAGAGGAAACTGCAGTATAATAAAATACAATGTGGTGGTGGTCGTGATGGTGGTGAACATGACAGTGATGGGTGTTCTACCCAATCTAGTGCTGTGTTACTACATATTCCTGGGTTTCTGGTGAAAAACCATCTGCACCAGGATCAATTCTAAACAAGGATGACTCATATAGCAAGGCATGTCTTTGTTACAGCCCATCATATCCACTGGGTATATGTAAACATCAACAAAGCATTACATACCAAAAATGTGATTGTATACATGATGTCACCAGTTACATGCATTCAAAACCAATGAGGTAATAAGAGAGTAAACAATTATAATTTTTAATATATGAAGTCATTATCTTTCTTCTAGCCTATAAAGAAATAATGAAAAAAATGCTTTCAAGTGTATTATTTCTGTATAAAATATTCAGCTTCTACAAGTAGAAGTTTCTGTATTATATTTCCCCATTAAAAAACTCCATCTCTTCTCTTTGCATTGACATGCAATGGTTCCTGGGTCTGAAAGAGGCTTTTGTATAGCAACTTCCACTCCATAAGCCTGTTTGCATGATCAAAATGAGTTACCATGACTTAAATAATTCCTTGTTTTAATCCCTCTCATAACATATACATTGTTGTTTTCCCCTCAAACAAACCATGGTGCCAGGGTTTGGACAACATACCAAGCCACGTGCCGCCAAGTAATTAGCCAGCACATACCAGGGATTAAAATATGCAATCCTGGTTCATTTGATCATGCCAATTGTATGGCAAACCACTTCTGAAACTCACAGACGTTGTAAACAAAATAAGTAAGAGCAGAATGCTCTACTGAATTTGAATAGCTCAAGTATGTCTTTGAACCGCAGCCCTTGCCACCAATTCTACATCTCACAATAAAACCCTCAGAATTACAAGTGAATTTTGCATTTGCCTTAGAAAGCTTTGACTACAGGGTGGTATAGAATTGACATTAATAATGAGTAAGAATAAGAATAAAAGAATAAGAAAAAGAAACTGTGCTATAAACTGACCATAAAAGTTAGAAGCTAACTTCACTTTTAAATGGAATCCAATGCCAGGTTTATGTTTCTGTGCCTATCTGAAAAAAATGTTTAGCATCTTATATTTCACAAAGACATTTAGTGCTTTTTCCTTTCCAAGTACATTTTATATTCTTGAAATTACCAAAACAAACAGGATATACCATCTTGTGTTACACCTTAAGTCCTAACAGATCCTTATCGCTGATATTTTTCTTCTCATTTTCCTACTACACCCTGGCATCTGTTCAACAAAATTGAAGGGGCCAGCTTGATTTAAAATCTCATCTTTATTATTATTAAACATGCACAGCACTTATTCCTAAAACATGTGTTTTGATCAGACAGTTTCTTTAAAAACATCCTGCTTTTGAATCCTGTAGCAGGGGTCAGAGAGGCCTGTATAAAGCCAGGATGTATGTTGTGCTTGTAAAATTTACATAAATCCTCAAAGAAGTATTATACGATGTAATTAGTCTTGTGCTTTTAGAACAAGGATAGGTTGCTTACATGTAATAGTAGTTCTTTGAGTAGTCATATGTGCATTCATATATTTGGGTTCTGTGCCTGTGTAGAACTCCATGTGGAAACATTCTAAAGCTGAAAAGCTTCCAGTGGGAACTTACGCTTCCATTGGACATGCTCAAATGGCCTGCTCATCTCCTTCCCAGTCAACTCAGTTCTGAGAGACCACCACAGAAAGTACACACACAGGTACTGAAGGTAGGGTGGTTAGTGGCCTGTGTGAGTGCACAGGTGACCACTTGAAGTTACAGATACAGAACTTCTCTTCCTTTTCTGTCTTCTCTATGCATTACACATACAGGTCAACAGCCAATTGATTTAAAGACAGATTAAACACAGTACCTTAGGTCATCATGTAGAAAAGGACAGCCCTAGCCATAGGAAAAATCCACATAAGTCCTAATGTTCAATGTGTAGTACCTATACTGATGACCCAGAAAAGCACTTGAGTCCATTGCCAAAGGTAAGATCAGAGGTATACTGGAAGGTTGAAAGCAGACAAAGACACGTTTGGATTGCTTTGGGACCCTATGGTAAGAGCAGGATTTGAAATTAGAGGGTGGAAACAACTTCTTTGAACCCTGAACTGAGGTTTGAATGGGAAGAACCTGATTTAGCAGAATGTGAAGTTTGTCTATTGACTGATTCTTTATTTTATGACTGAATCCCAGTCCTGTTCTCTTGGTTTGTGGTGTGAGTGGAATCTGATGGGGTGTGGGGGTTGCAAATCCAAATAATATTCCCAATTCTATTCCCACTAACAAATACTGGTTTGTTAGCTCTGAAATGATGACTTGCTGTGCTTTGCGTCAAGCCAGTTTGTGGAATTCTGCTATAAGATGGACCACAATGTTTGCATTTTTTAAACTTCTAGTGACATTTGCTCAAATAAACACCCTAAAAAAAACTCACAGGGCCCTAGAGAGATTTTTGCAGAATTGGCTAGTTTGAGCAATTGGCTGATACAAATTGGGTTAGACCCATGTGGTTTTTCAGGTACGAATTTCATTTAACAGTTAAAAAATGTGCAATTCACAGTCTTAGAGATGACTGACTTGGTTGCTTGTGATTAATGAATTGGAAGCATACAGGAAATTAGTCAAGTTCAAATAAGCTGAATTTCTCTGTTTCTGTACTTTCACATCCAGGCCTTTCAAAAGTCCAAGTAAACAGTGTCTTCCAGAATACCCTAGTCCACATGTTTATTGACACTCTCAAGGAATTTCTAAAAGATAGTAAGATAGGACTTACCTTTGAGGAAGCCAAAGTAATTATTTCTCAGCATGGTTTGTCCTTCTATATGCTTACTATTATTATTATAACACTGCATTTCTATCCCACATTTTTTTCTTCTTGTGAGGAACCCAAGGCAGCTTACATAGCTCCATTTTATTCTCACAACAATCTTGTGAAGTAGGTTGGACTGAAAGTCTGTTAATCACCCAGTAAACTTCATAGCCAGGTGGGGACTAGAACCCAAATCTTCTAGTGTTGGCCTGCAGTCCAACACTCTAACTACCAGACCTCACTGGATCTTTATTATCTTTCTTTCTTCAATTACATAGACTCATAATGCTTTCGATCTGTTTTCCAGACCAAACATTAAGCTAACCAGATTGAAATATCCTGGAACCAACCTGGTCTTACATTGGCCATATCTAATCTAGAAACATGTTCAATATTTTTTGTCAGACTATAAATAACTCAAAGATCTGAAGCTGCTTAGGATGTGCTTGGTGATTTATTAATTTTCAATTTGTCAGTACTGAGAACTTCATCTTTTGTTGAAGTTCATTCATCTTCAATCCCTCACACTCTTTCCTAAAAATATCACTGTGATACAGGTTACCTGTTCTCTAAGTTCTGCAATGAAGACAAACAATCAAATAAATAAGTAAATTAGAATCTCCACAATTTCTTATCCTCCTTTAGTACTCCCTTAACTCCACTGTCATCCAATGCACCAAAGGTCTTCTAGCTGGTTTCCTGTTTCTAATATATTTTAAACATTATTTATTTTTGGCATTGATACTGTACTGACATGCCTCGCAAACTGCTTTTTTCCACATACTTTAGTGTCTACTTGCATTTTCTTTGTGCAAGTTCTTGATCCTTTTTTCTTCTCATTTGAGCAAATTTCAATTCTATGAACAAGTTTTCTGCACTCTCTCATATGTATTATCTGTTTAACAGTGAAAAGGTTGATCAAAAGAAAGATCTTCAGTATGCATTCTAGCACCTTAAGTAAGGCTTTCTGATCTTAACCTCCACAGAGTTAAGCATAAGAGTGAAGAACTCTGTGAAGAGTTAAGACACCAGGCATAGTTTTTGATCCAAAGTCTATCATGCGGAAGGACCTATCAGTTTGTTTGCCATCTGGAAGTCTTCATCATATGACATCTTATCTTTTTGTTCTTGGGAAGGTGTTTGTGGAATGCAAGCTACCTTCTCTCACAAGAAATACCAATACCTTGATCTGCAGGCTTGAGAGTTAATTCTGAGAGAGAAGGGCATTGTAGAGTATCATTTTCTCCTCAAAGCTTCTGTCTGCCCTTCTCCACTGAGGTAAAATGTAACATTTTCAGAGAATTGTTCCAAGATGCCTCAGTGAAAATAGCATTAAGATGTGACTGGTGGGACAAGAACTCACATCTTGCCTCCTAAACCATGGAGAGGTTTTCTAGCCACAGAGATCAGTAACCTTGATTATGACTTTTAACATGAGTCCTTAGCAGTTTGAAATAAAGCTGGAAGCATGGGAATTAGCAGCATCCACAATTCAGATTGGAAAACTCAGAAGTAGGTATTTGTGGAGAACTGGTTATTGATGAATTTACATACCCAACACTCTTGCAATCCAAAGATTATGCTCATTGTAGGATCAGCTGTGCTCCATGATTATGACCACTAACTGCCACATCTGGACACAAGGTAGACATGACCACTGAGCAGGTGGAAGCTAACTAGTGCCTTTCTGCATAAAGAGAAACCTCAGGGGGCCACACCAGTGCCAAGATATGGAGGCTTACCCAAGAGACCTTCAGTACTATGCTAGCAAGGGCAGTTGACAGTGCCAGTATCTGTATTACTGATTCTGAACCATTCCTAGCTGTGCAAAGAGTCACAGTACCATGAATATGCCCAAGATGAATAGCTATTAGATCTTTCATCTTCATAGTGATTTCTGATACCATAACACTGAGGAATATCTGGAATATAAGTGATGTGGCAGCTCCTTCTAAATGGAATCACAGTAGAGGTAATCTGCACACTGAAAGTAACAGCAGTCTAGATAACCCAATTAGGCGTACATGAACTGGTAAATGGGAACCTGCCACAGAATAGAGTAGGTTGCTCCTAATCCATATCTGATGCTTGCCATATAGATTTCTTTCTTTTCTCATGCTATGAGGAAGAATAAGTACTTGAAGTTCATCAAGAAGATCAAGGAACATCTTTGCTCCACCTTCTCCAACACCGATATTAGAGTGCAGCATAAAAATGATTGGAGTGATTTGATATGAGAACAGGCACAATACAGGTATTGAAGCCAATACATTAAACTGCCTGCTAGCTGACAGTACTGTTGGCTGCACTGAGACCAAGAGTGCATTGGAGGCTGACCCTAACTTCTTGCTAAGAGCAAATGGTTAACAATGTTCTTTTTAGGCTTCCATGTCTTGCAAGACCCAATGTGGGCTTGTTAAATTCAGGAGGGAAATTATAGGATGTAACTGGACTCAGTACCAAAGGGAGTCAATCCATAGCTGGCAGCACTGACAGTAAGTATATGTCAGTATTGAACGCGCTAGAGATATCTCCATAGTCACCTTTGAAAGTTCAGGAACACCAGGTCTCATCTTATGGTGCACTTAAGATGCTCTGCTAGGTTTGGGAACAATTGGTAAGATTCTGGGTGGTCTGCTGGAGAAATATTTCTTAGTGTCAAAAACTGAAACTTTGTCATGGAGTCTGTAGCCTGAGGAATAGTATCCCAGAGGTACACCCAGTATATGGAAGGACACTGTTAGTATACCTAATAAAGGTGCAGGAGTCAACCCTGTGACGTTTTTCTAAACAGAACAAACAGAATGTCCATCATGCAAAGGAGGAACCTCAAACAATGTGTGTCAAATAAAAATGTAAAACAGAATGGTGGGGGAGACAGAAACAGGAGTTCTGAGAAATATTGTGCCTCAGCTAAATTCATGGAAAGGACGAGCAGAGAACAAGTCATTTGCTGCTACAGTGGTCATTAAAGAATTGACCAAGACCATGTATGGGATATGCTTTTTGAGCATGTGCATTAAATATGGTCGGTTTCCACCAAAAGCTTCGCAGCTTTAGAATGCTTCTGAACATGACTCTTAACAGGTAAAGAACTTCTGTGTGTGACAAAGAGAGTTGTGAAAAATAATAAGCTAGTGTTTGTCAGTCTTGAAGGAAATACACATACATTTTGGAAAGCACCAATGAAGAATAAGCAGGCATCCAACAGGTGTTGCTAGGATATGAGTTCAAGGTAATGTGGGACACTACTAGATATCAATGGTAGTGGTATTATCCAAGACAAGTCAGCAAAATCTAAGAAGAGCTTAGCTTTACCTGACTTCCTTCTCTTCGCCAAAATATGGCTGGTTGAGGATTTCCAGTTGCTTCACACTGGAAAGTAACAGTTCTGCCCAGTGCTGCCACCTGGTCACGAGGTTTCACAACAAAATGTGGTGGCTCTGGAAAGGGAAAAGTACAGCAAAATTACGAGGATTAATTATCAATCCAGATGACAGACTTGCTGCCAGTTGCACAGAATAATTTTTTTTTCCGATACCAAGTGGTCAAATGTGTATACAATATAAATGTCTAATGTATGTATTGATAAAAATGTAATGTATTGATAAAAATTTAATAGAGTTATATCTCTGCAATATTACCACTGTGATTGGGTCTTTTTTGGTTTTTTTTTTTTTCCTGGGGGAGTGGGGTGGGGACATGTTTATAGAAGCAATGCAATACTGCAGCGTATGGAAGAGGTAAGAAAGGTTGAGTGCCGCAGCTGCAGTTGACTAAGTTTCTTTGACAGTGCCTATGCATGCGAAGAGTGATGCTCACTCTTCCTGTTCCATTCCTTATCTTCTTCTCCCGCCATGGCAGATGTAAGGCCTCCCCACAGCTTGACAGTGAAAAGCAAAAGCAGAAAACTTCCAACCTCCAGTCATGCAACTAGACAGCAAAACTTCCATTTTGCAATGCACTGCATCCATGTCCCAGATTTTTTAATAGACAGTTGAAGACACCAAACATTAAACTAGGTAGACTGGACTGGGTTAAAAGAGGACATCAGGCAATGTTTCTTCCTAATGAGGGAATTCTATAGAAAAAGCACATTTTTAATTAAAAAGACCCAGTGTTTGAGTTGAACATAATGCTGGCTTGTATTAGTGTTATTAGCACATCTCCATGTTAAAAGAATGGATTTATAGCTTTTGTTGAAAGCCTTACACAACTTGTTTTGCTTTGTTTTTGTTTCACAAAAATGCAGTGGGTAGAGAAAAATCTCATTTGTAGATGTCATAAAAATTCCCCCATATTCTGTTCTACTAGCTTTTCAGTAAAACCACAAAATGATAGCAAATTCATGGCTTAGATACACAAAAGTCATCATTTTTGATTTACTGTAGTCTGGGAGTCATTTAATAGCTTCCATAAGAGGCTTGATTTTGATATAGGAAAGGATGCTCATTTTTTTCAGTTTAACTCAAAGGCCTCAGAATTGCTACTGTGTAAATTATAACCATTTAAAAATCTTCAGTGCAATTACTGAAGAGGAATGAATTTAAAGCAACAGTGAAGCAGAATTCCTCCTTCATTTACATAAGCAAGGGCATGTTCAAACAAAATATATATGTAAATGAAGGCAAATTCGAAACATCTGTTCATCGTGACATTATAAATACTGCCAGCATTGTCCAAACTGTTTGATTTATACAGACATAAATGGCCACTTCATCTAGCAGTAAATAGAACGTCAAAAATTATGTCAGTTGCATTAAGCCATGGCAGTTGCATGTATTAGGCATAGTGACTGAACCAGAGTAGGGGGTGGGATGTACATTATTTTTAAAAAGTTCTGTTTCGGCCTACTGTCTTTTGAGGAGATAGTTTAAATGAAAGATCTTACTGCTTGCTTTTTTCCAATCTTGAACACTTCCACAATTTGTAAGGCTTAATTTTTCAGACTGCTTTTCTTACTGAGTATCACTGGCAGGTCATATCACACTCACACTTCACATCAGTTGAGTTTAAAAGTATTTATAATCACTTCTTCAAGAGATTTTTTGATACTAAGCATGTTAATCCAGATTGTAGACACTGTGAATGCCAAGCAACTACAGAAGACTTCCTGGATGAAACTAATATTTCTGTATTATGGACCACTTTTCCCCATGCAGTGACATCCTGCAGTTAAACTAGGATGGTATCTATAGGACATATAGGTGGTCTGGAGTTTAGCATCACATAAACAGGTTCTAAGTAGCTCTGAAATCATGGCTTGCTAAAGCAAAATGGTTTCATTACAGTCAGGTCATTGTAAGTGACTTGGTTCTTTGCAGATACCTGAATACTTCTCAAGAAAAGACACAATATTTTAGTATTGTGGTGTAAAAATGTCTAATATTGTGTCTAGTATTGTGTCTAATATAAATGTCTAGTTGTTGTTGTTAGTCACGAAGTTCTGTCCGACCCATCGCGACCCCATGGACAACATTCCTCCAGGCCTTCCTGTCCTCCACCATGCCATGTCCTCCAGGCCTTCCTGTCCTCCACTTAAGCTCACGCCGACTGCTTCAGTGACTCCATCTAGCCACCTCATTCTCTGCCATCTCCTTCTTCTTTTGCCTTCAATTGTTCCCAGCATTTGGGTCTTCTCCAGTGAGTCCTTCCTTCTCATTAGGTGGCCAAAGTATTTGAGTTTCATCTTCAGTATCTGGCCTTCTAAATGTCTAGTATTTTGGTGTAAAAATGTCTAATAGTAAAGCATGTAAGCTTTACTAAAATTATCCACAGTGATTATGTGAAGGAGGACTACCTGTGTTTGTGTTTACTGTTTGTGAGTTTGGTGGTAGGATGTGGATATAAAAAAGCTGTTGAAAGCAGAACCTAACCAGGGCTAAAGTGGTTAATTAATTGCATTTGCTACACGTAAGAGAGGGATCATCTACCTGTCTCAGTTTTCACACATTTGTAGAAACTTTTCCTGAGCAAAAAAGCACCTTTTTCATTCAGTTTTAACACTTAAGATTAAATTACTGCAGCATGTTCGGAGTAATAACAATTTCTCTTTATCTCTGTTCACAGGTATAACTTCTTGTAAAACACAATAAGAGTGAAAGGAGAGGAGAATCCAGTGTTTAACCCGAAATACATTTTAATTATTCAAAAATTTAAAAAATTGAAATTCTTCCTCAAGAGCAACTCTGACCAGTTTTTGTAAAAAGAAACCACAACTGTTAGCCAGGATAATAGCCATGTTAGTTTGCTGCAGCAAACATGAAGTGGTACTTAGTGCCTTTTTTCAAAGCTCTCTGGTTTTCCATACCATTCAAAGCTGTAGAAGATGACTGAACAGTTTTGGTTTTTTTTGTAAGAACCGAGTCAGAAAGTAGACTTTTAATTCAAGCCTTCCCTATATGTTATGCATTTTCTACTTGCCTGCATCAGAACAGACTTGCTCAGTTCACCATACACTTCCACAAATCACCCCTTTGTGACTCTTGATCCTATCAGATCATTTTCTATGCCATGGTGCTATGTCATTTGCTTTTTAAAACAGCGTGAATTCAAACTATGGACTAACAGCCACACAGATTTATTTCTGTCTTGGAGATGATATGTCACAAACACAGTATCAGATCTCTTAAGGCTGGCTTGAGTGTAATTCAAACACCTAAAGTGGTCTTCTTTCCTTATACTATATGGATGCCTTGCATCAAAAGCAGTGAATAACTTGTGGTCCTCCAGATATTTTAGCTACAACTCTCATGATGTTTAACAGGGACAGCCACTTATAAAGAATAATGGGAGTTGTAATCCAAAAGATTGGGGAGGGGGCACCACTTGTCTACCCATGGATCAAAGGAACTTCCATTGATCCATCTCCCTTAAACCATTTCCTGACATTTTTGGTAGCAGAAGAAATTGAATTACTTTAAAGCACAATCTGTTATAGAAACATAACAAAAATGTATCTTACATGTGGAAGGATCTAGAATTTCATATACACCAAACTTCATTCATTTCAAGAAAGAGCACCTTAACTATATTTTTAGATTTCATTCATTTTTAGAATTTGGAATATATTTCCTATCATGGCAATACATCAACCACACAGATTTAAAAGATGAACAAGCTCAAATATTATTAAACTTAAGATACAGACTTAACAGACATATTTATATGCTTCAAACATTAAGGTTCAGTAACTGTTCAAATGACAGCACACTGGATTAAGTATGAAATGCTAATAATAAATTCTTATTTCTTTATTTGCTGTCATTTAATAAACAGGAAGAAAAGACAACAGCTTGGATCTTAAGTTAACTTATCTTAAGTAGATTCACAGAATGTGGTTTTTTTGTGTCTCCCCATCCCCACTGCAGCTGCCTGCACCACAGGGGTTTGAGGGGGATGTTGAAGAAAAGAAGAATTTTGGGTGATTGCTCTTAAGCATCTCATTTTTAGGAGACCCAAAGCTGGAAAGGCTTTCCAGACCTGCAGGTGATGGCATGGGGAAGGATGAAATGGGGAATTTTCTTTCTATTAACTCCGCAAGTCAGTTGACCATAGCCTCCAACCCACTTTTTTTCAGCACCAAATTTGGTGCAGGGATGATAAATCTGAGTAGTCTCTCAAGTCTGTTTTCAGTCTCATCACATATGTTAAACTGTTACTAAAACTTTAGTTGACTTATATACACATGCAGTCAATTACAGTTTGTAACTTTAATTCTGCTATTCTGAACAACTGGCCCTCAGGAAAAGAATGAAAACAATTACTATTTTGTTCACCCAATGGACAGTGAGTTTACAAAATGAAAATACAAGATTCAGAACCAACTTTTGCTTATTTTGAGCAGCCATATATGGAGCATTTTATTACTGTCAAGAATTAGCTTTTTGGATTTCTTAAAACAACAATGAACCAAACAGATAATCAGTTAGAGCCAAAAGAAAGTCTGAAAAATCAGAATTGATATTACAATAATTAAAACAGATGAAAATAAGCAAGCTATTACCTTTGATGCTTGCCACAAAAATTACCCATACTTCACGCAGAATGTGCCCTTTGCAGTCTGTCCATTCAATTACAAGTGAAAGCTGCAAGTTGATTTGTTGGTGGATATGTAATGGTATGGATAGAAAGGGGGAGAGGTGTTCCAGTCACAGGAATAACGATGATTAGAAGATGACGAATAAAATTTCAACTTACCAGATACAACTAAAAACAAAACAAAAAGAACAAAAAACATGGAATAAATAAATTCAAACATAAAATGAAACAAATTAAAATGAATGTGCTTTAATTCCATGCATCACTTTGTGTGATTCTCTTACAGAAAATCAATATACTAACCTTAATAATGTAAGATAATTATTTTAAACCTACATACAATGTAATTATCCAAAAATACAAATACAGCCAGAACACGCAAAAACCAGCATGAGGCAGATGACTTAGTGCACACATTGTTCTTCTTAGCTGTAGAGAATGCTCAGTTTTAAATCTTGCAATGTAAGGCATGAAGAATGATGGAGATACAAGAGATGAACTACAGTGTGAAAAAGATTGGTCTTCCTGCTGAGCAGAGTGATGGGATTATATTCAGCTTTGTGCCACCCCCCAGCCTTCTGTAACATGTCAAGTGATTGTCCATTACATACTACACACTGGGAAGCAGAATGAAAATGTAGTATAATTTCCCATTTGTTACCTAATCTGTGAGTAATTTTCAAAATCACTGCCAGTGTTCAAGGTGATTATGCTCCCTCCGAGCAAGAAGGGATGAGCGGCTGCTCAATATATCTAGACAGAATTGGTAAGGTACAACATAGCCTGCTTTGCTGGGCAGGCCAAGCCTTCTATCCATTTTTTTCCATTTGATGAGGCAAGATTGTTCTCCCCCACAACACATGCATTTTTCTGAACAAAGGGCACTTCTGTATGGGTGAATATTAATACAGAGAACAGAAAAATAAATCCTTCCTCACCCACTCTTTGTGAAGACAAGGGAAAGGAGTACAATTCCTGACGGTGTCTCTCTCAGGTACTTTCTGTTTAGAAGTGTCCATGCCTACATGACTTATGTCTCAGGTACCCAGAGGAAGCCTGCTGCTATATTAAGCTGTCCTATGCTATGTTCACCTGCCAATATCTTCCACTGGGTGAGACCAATGAGAGGAAAGTTTTAATTGTGGTGCCCCAGGCTCACATGGCATCTCAGGCGGCCTATAATCTCCATAAAAGATTATTTTATTTCCCCAGTCTTTAAAATTAAAAAAATCTTTAAAAATATTTTGAACTAGTTTTAATGTTGCTTTTAACAGCTTTTGTTGCATTTAATTATTTTACTTTATATTTATTCTATCCTGGAAACTAATGTAATATGCACATCCATTAAATGAATCAATGCATGGAGAGGTACAGGTGTAAGCTGCTTTTTGATGTCTTTGCCTAATGTGCATATGACAAACCTTTGAGTATTAACATCACTATCATTACTGTTTCCAGTGGCTGCAGTGTCCTGTTCAGATACTTCTTTCCTAAAGGAGACACATACGTTTTCAGAACATGAATTTCGTTAGGAAATTGATGTGGGGTGGGATGGGGAAAAGTGCATTTTGCAAATCACTGTATGAGAAAATAGGAGGTGGATACTACAGCAGGCCACTTCAAGGTCTCAAAGTTGCTACACTGCCCCTTTTTAGCATTGATAGGAATCTATGTATAATCTAGAATTTTCCCTTGCAGCAGTGAATCCAAACCTGATATAGGTGATAGGCTTCCACTGAATCAGTGATTCCTCCTCTCCTTCACCAGCAGACACTCCTCTGGTGGTGGTTGGAACTCTTTCTAGGTAGATGAAAAGCTACTCCTACGAGAAAGCCACCAAAGTCTCTCCATTGCCTGGAGAGGCACGAGATGTCAACCAGGATCTGTTTTATTAAAATTCCCTTTTGTTGTGGCTAACAGCAAGGAAATCATTTAAAAAGTGTTTAAGGGAAGGGGGGAAGGGGGAGGGGAGAAAATTCTCACTTTCTGACTGGCCAGGACAGGAGGCTTTACCCCTTTGCTCATGTTTAAGATTGCTCTGTTACTGATTCAGTATATTGTTACTGCTTTATTTACTACAAGATTTTAATCTAATTCAAAATCAGAGTTTCATAAATGTCACTGTTAAAAGTAATGCCATAATGTTACACTATGTTTCAAAATGCTACTGAAATCCTAGAATCCCCAATCTAGGATACTATCCCAATGTTTGAACTACAACACCAAGAACTTCTGAGCATTGGCCATGGGAGTTGAAGTCTGCAAGGCACCACGTAGCAAAAAGCTTCTATTAGCAACAATGTACATAAAAGAATTACAAAAATCACCACTCTCTCAAAAATGTTGTCATTGTGCTACATCTTTGTCATGGGCATGTTATTTTTTAACAAAACAATAATTTCAATACATAAGTAATTGTACAGAAAACTATTACATAAGTTTTTACTCATAAATGCTAAGAGGCAAAGCATTCAAATGTAAGAGATGTTCTACAAATCTTTAGTCTCATTTTTTAGAGATTAAAAATAACTACTGTTAGGCATGAGAAGACCTTCATAATTAGCTGGTAAACACCTGCAGTATGTTACTCTCCAGTATAACACACTAAAAAAGGAGTAATAATATTCCACCTGTCAAAATTCATTAGGCAGGAGACACATGAGTTTCAGTTCAAGTAAATGCCTCATAGCAGAAGCAGTTGCAGGTGTGCAACAAAAATAAAATGGACATGCCAGGCAATGATCATGCCACTTCTCCTAAACCTTGAAGCATTCAGCTACTGTAAATCAGTGTTTAAGAGAACCCGATGTTAAGCATACAAAGCAAGTTGTATGCATTCGGATGCATTTATTGCATAATATTGCAGAGAATCAGAAAGGACAGGGTCTAAGGATGGCATCCTGACAAGATTAAGACCAACTAATACAATACAAGTCAATGCTAGATTTAATTGTAGCACTCCAATGCAGTACTATGCTGAGAAGTAGGATACAAATGGTATTATTAGAAAGATATAGAAGTGCCAAATCTAGTAAGAATTTGGACTGGACATACATACATAAAGAACTGTTTGTTTGCATATGACTCTGTTCAGCAACTGAGGTCAAGCCAGTCAGCTAACTGTGCCAACTATTTTAAAGGTTTGGCCAGCAGTTGTTACAAAGTATATTTTTTATTGGTTTGTTTTGTTTGCAACATCTAGATTACAGAGGCTGTGCAAAACCATGCCTTTTCTGTCAGACAATACACTAATTTTATCTTCGAGGCTGGTATTTAGTTGGTGGACTAGATTAGGAGGTAGGATTGCATCTTTTTTCTCATTTACGGCATAGTGGGCTACAAGTGCAATGGAATTGTTTGCTGCACTCTTCCATCCTGGTTCTTGTAGACAACTTATCTCACCATCTTCACCTACATCTTGGTCCTGTTTGCTGCCAGATAAATATATAGTCTTATGTGCAGGAAGAGTACATTCTATTACAATCTGTTCAACCACTAGTATGACAGGTTGCTAATAAGAAGTGCATTTTTAAATTGTGTGATATCTCTGGGATATAGGAGTACTCAGAGAGATTTGGAAAGGAGCAACATTTGGAAGGTTTCTTTGAAAGCTTCTCAGCAGGTCAGAGAGATGTTCCCATTCTCATCCATTTCTCCAGAATCCAGAAAAACTTTAATACAAAGACAGACTAATCCCAAATTTACTCCTTCTGCATATCCTGGATAAGATATAGAACTCTAACTCAATTGCGTCATGAAACCTGAACATGTCACAACTTTGCAAGCTTCCCATGGTTAATTGCTTACTGGCTCAAAGTTAGGAGAGAACAGGGCACCCTGGGGAATAAAATACCACCTGGTGGGAAAGCTGTGCTGCCCTCATTTCCCCCACAAATGGTCAAAAGGCTCAACTTTTCTAGCCTTAGTAATGAGGGGAGAGGACTTTTGGCTCAGACTTAATTATGAGTGCATGTACATAGAATCAGACTCTCATGTTCCCATGGGGGATTGTGTTCTTTCACGTTCTCTCACTTTTCCCTCAAACAATAGACTCACCAAACAGGAAAAAAAATAGAAACCTGATATTTCGGCAGCTAGGCAAAATGTGTTTTCCCCGCTGAAGGTGCTATCTATTCATTGAAAAATTTTATTCAATGAACTTTCATTTAAGTATGTGTGATAAATGAAATTGTCCTATAATTTTCTGATTATATGTTGTAAAATACTATCCACTCCAGACAACTTAAGGTGGTTTCTTTTATTGATGAAGGACTTGCATGTTCAAGTCTTCTACATGCATAAAAGACTATCTGTCAGATTTTAGGAAAGCAACTATCATATTTGGCATACTTGCAATTTTACCTAGCAGAATGTAATGTTTATGTTTCTGAATTGCTCATGCAGCAGTTTGTCTCCCTGAAGATGCATGCTGTATGTAGTCTTTATATTCCATTACATTTAGTATTCTTTCACAAATGACCATACAATAAGTCATAGGACATAGTCGGTGTAGAAAACTAAGGGCTAATTTCTTGAGATGTTTTTGAATCTACTATAAGATTTATATTGTGCTGAAGGTATGCTATTTTTCTGGCATCAGATGATTAGCCTTGCATGTTGTTACCTATCTACAGTATGAATTCAGATTCATATATTAATTGCAAAAAAGGCAGTATGGGGTGGTAGATGCAGTGTAGGACTGGGGACCTGTAAAATACAGATTCTAGTCCTCTTTTGTCCATAAGCTTACTGAATCCCTTTGGGCCAGAATCCCTTAGACTAACCTGACCCACAGGGCTCTTGTTGTGGGGAGTGGGGGGGGAAGGAATGGAAGAGGACTATGTAAGCAGCCTTGGGTTCTTCATAAGATGACTAAAAGCGGGACATAAATGCAATGTAATACTAGTGGAAAACGCTAATAAAATCATGCATCTCTTAACAAAAAGGAAAACAACCAGCTCTTATCGTCAGTTACAAATTATTGGTTATTGCTAATGTCCTCACAGTATTTCAATTTTAAAAACAAGTATGCAGTTTGAATAAAAATGTAATAAAAATGTGTTCTATGGAAGCTACTCATCAGATATTCCATAGCGATGCTTTCAAAATAATTCTACACCAAGAATTTCTTCATACTATAATTCTACTCACTGTGATGCCTTCAGAGG